CAGGTTAGGGTAGATTAGCAGTCAGGCTTAGGGTTAGGTTAGGGGTTGTTCAGGTTAGGGTTAGATTAAGTCAGGTTAAGTCAGGTTAGGGTTAAGTCAGGTTAGGTTAAGTCAGGTTAGGGTTAGGTTATTTCTTCCCACTAGATCAATAAACTAACATGTTAATTTCTTCCCTCCAGACGTTAACTCACCGCCATGACCTCCAGCGGTGATTGGAACGAGGTGATTAATGACGGCCGGTTGTTAGCTGATTCAGTATAGCGGTGACTGTATGCTAGTGACTGTGTGCTAGTAACTGTGCTAGTAACTGTATGCTATTAACTGTATGCTTAGTAACTGTATGCTTTAGAAACTGTATGCTGAGAAACTGTATGCTAGTGACTGTATGCTAGAAACTGTATGCTAGTGACTGTGTGCTAGTAACTGTATGCTAGTAACTGTATGCTAGAAACTGTATGCTAGTAACTGTATGCTAGAAACTGTATGCTAGAAACTGTATGCTAGTGACTGTATGCTAGAAACTGTATGCTAGTGACTGTGTGCTAGTAACTGTATGCTAGTAACTGTATGCTAGTAACTGCATGCTAGTAACTGTATGCTAGAAACTGTATGCTAGAAACTGTATGCTAGTGACTGTATGCTAGAAACTTTGTATGCTAGTGACTGTGTGCTAGTAACTGTATGCTAGTAACTTTTGCTAGTAACTGTATGCTATTAACTGTATGCTAGTGACTGTATGCTAGTAACTGTATGCTTAGTGACTGTATGTCTTGTTCTGTTAATATAAGCTAAAATTGTGTTTTATTTTATGTTACTAAATACATCTGTGTTTGTTGTAGAGTGTGGAGAACCTGGACTACCTGGTTAGCTGTGTTAACGGCCTGAGACTGAGGGGAAGATGTTATTTACCTCGAGGAATATTTAGTGTGTGACGACAGCCTGGGTCACAGTCACCCGGCTACTGGGCGTCGCTGAGAGGGAGAGACATCCGCTGGTGATGGGGCATGTGGTGTGGTGGATGAGAGTGGATTAGGAGGTTATAGATGGTGGGTGGTTCAGCTGCTGTTTTTCTGAAAGGTTAGTGGTGGTGTGGTGTGGTGTGTGGTGGTGTGGTGTGGGTGATGTGGATGGTGTGGTTATTAATTGTTGTGTTGTCACATTACAGGAGGGCGGTGACAGTGGTGAGGTCATCGTGAGGTCACATGGCCGTCAGGTCAACAGCGTGGGGTCATCAAGCCAAAATTTGTCTCCTGAAGTCTTTCCTACTGACTAAAACCAAGGGAGTGCGTGGATTAGGGTAAAAAAGTGTGTTGGGGTGTGTGTAAGATTAGGAAGAAAGTGTGTAAGGGTCTCCAGTTATGGCTTATTTTAATCCTGAATTTAATAACTAAAATATTAACTTTCAAATTACAAGTTGAGTAAGTTTGAAGAAAGTTTGAAAGAAAGCTTGAAAGAGGATTTTATGTCATTTACAAATTTTTTCTTAAACATCGGATCAAAATAATTAACTTAAGGCCCAAAAAATAAATAACACCTCTACCAGACATGACCTCCAGCGACCTGTAATAACCTCCAAGTGACCTTCAGTGACCTCTTAATAACCACTAGTGACCTCCAGCGACCTGTAATAACCTCCAAGTGACCTCCAACGACCTCTTAATAACCACTAGTGACCTCCAGCGACCTGTAATAACCTCCAAGTGACCTCCAACGACCTCTTAATAACCACTAGTGACCTTCAGTGACCTCTTAATAACCACTAGTGACCCCCATTACGCCTATTACAGAGAAGCCGTTCATGTGTGAGCTGTCTTGAGACTCGCGATTAGCCACGAGAGCCGTGGAGCGTCACATACTATCCAAACACATCAAGGAACGCACCAATGTGTGGGGTGTGTGTGACAAGGCCTTCATTTTAAATTGTGAGGTGTGTTAGTTTGTGTTCTATACAGTCAGGTATATTTAACTGGACCCTATACAGTCAGGTCTATATTTAAGTGGACCCTATGCAGTCAGGTCTATATTTAACAGGACCCTATACAGTCAGGTCTATATTTAACAGGACCCTACACAGTCAGGTCTATATTTAACAGGACCCTATACAGTCAGGTCTATATTAACAGGACCCTATACAGTCAGGTCTATATTTAACTGGGACCCTATACAGTCAGGTCTATATTTAACTGGACCCTATACAGTCAGGTCTATATTTAATAGGACCCTATACGTTAGAAGCGCCGATATAACAGAGATACCTCCTCCCAAGAACGTCGCTTTAAACCGATTCCTCACTTCATCAAATACTGCTTTCAGTGGAATAATTTAGTTTGGTACTTGATATAAAAAAAACTATATTAACTTTAATTAACTGATAAATATGGGAAAAATATATGTTTTATGATATATATATACAGAGAGTATTACCTGTAGTGAAGATAAAAGCTGGAGGGTTACTGACCTGTGTGGTATGTTGTGGTACTGTTGTGTATATCTTGGTACTCTCTGTTGCCTCGTGTCACTGGGCCTACATCTCCGATCGAGGTCTGGGCAGACCTCAGACCATCACAGGATAAACAAATACTGTATATTGAAACACGGGCTAAAATTACGGGCGTGAATGGTCTGTTTACTAGCGATCAGCTGATGTGAGAGGGTGGTCTCATGGTACCACACACGCCCACCTCTCTTATGCCCCACTCCATCACCACTCACTTCCTCTCAATTTAGTTTTCATCTTTTTATGCTGTAAAAATAGGTCTTTCCCCACCTGTAGTTAGAGCAGAGTCGTCCGTTCACTAGAAGCATCGGGTGAAACTGAGGGTGCGGAGGGGGAGGCAGGAGGTGCGGAGGGTGCAGGGAGTGCGTGAGGGTGCCAGGAAGTCGTATAGCATGCCCAGAGAGGTGTCTGGCGGTAAACATGAGGCAGGAAACTTAAATATTGTTTATTTCCACCACGATGCCCCAGATTTGGCTTCGTAAAATGAAAGCGATTCTTTTAAATCAATATTGGCACCTCATTTGTGGGTGTGGTTTAAACAGTAATTTTAAGCGATTAGCGTTAAATGGCGTTCTTCTACATAACAAACTCCAGATTTACGAATCGATATCACAAACTCTCAATATAAAGGAAGAATTTTTTGGGGCTATTTTTGCTCGATTTAGTGAACTAAATTACTAAATTGACGGAAATATGAAAAGTTCGATTTAGCAGGAATTGGAATTTAGGAAAGGATTAGGCTGAAAAGTCCATTAAATAGAAAATGATGTAAATAGAGGAAAGTCCATTATATCGAGGGTCCATTAGTTGTAAAACCTCTATTTAATGAACTATATAGAGATGAAAGTCCATTATATCGAGGGTCCATTAGAATGGCTACGCTTCAGGTAAAATAAGGTTGGCAGTATGAAAGCTTCTGATGAAATAAGCTTGGGGAGCAAATCAATTAAAGATAAGCTTGGATGGCAAATCTACATGTGAAATAAGCTTTGGTGAGTAATATTCAAGTAAAATAAGCATAGTCAATCTTAAGGTAAAATAAGCTTAGGTGTCTAATGAAATCAAATAAGCTTTAAGGTACCTAACCAATAAAACCAAAATAAACTTAGTAACCAAATCACCAAACCCTAATAAGCACCATACCATATTTCAAGCTCTCAAGACACACCAAGCTGTACACTCAGACACCCCAAGCTTTATCTGTGTGATGCGGGTCATCGTTCAACTCTGGTCATCGTATATGGATCCGTGAGGAGAATACACGGGCGCCTCAGAGATGACTTTTATGTGCGACTGTGCTTTAAATCTTTTGGGGTAGGATTATTGTCATTATTATCAATCATTATTATTATTATTTCTTGTCATTATTATTATTACAGTATTGTCATTGTTATTATTATTATTGTCATTGTTATTATTATCGGTCATCAACTCTGTAATGTTTCCGTTAACACAATTCCTCAAACTCTGAACTCTCCGATAGCGGAATTTTCAGAAATTCGCCTTTGGGAAAAGATTTTCCAAGGCCACATTTCTGGAAAATTTGAACATTTTCCATTACCTGGAATATTCGGGGATGGGGATATTTTTCAGGTTTGAGTGTCATCTGATTTACCTGGAAATCTGTCATCCTGGAAGTGTTCTGGACCAATTGTTCCAGCTAATTGGGATATATTACTGTTGTTATTGTTGTCATTATTATTGTCCAAGGTGAAATAAACTGGGGTCCTAATCTGCATGTCATCCAAATACTGTACTCTCAAATCTCTCGTTTCTTACATCATAATAACATAATAAGAGAGTCTGCAATAGGCGGTTGGCCTGTTCATGGCAGCTCTGTCGAGATTTCTACCACTCTCTATCATCCATGAATCTATCTAGCCTCCTTTAAAACTTTCCAGCGTTCCAGCTTACTACAAAGTTGCTAAGCTTGTTCCACTCGTCCACCACCCTATCTAGCCTCCATTTAAAACTTTCCAGCGTTCCAGCACTTACTACAAAGTTGCTAAGCTTGTTCCACTCGTCCACCACCCTATCTAGCCTCCATTTAAAACTTTCCAGCGTTCCAGGACTTACTACAAAGTTGCTAAGCTTGTTCCACTCGTCCACCACCCTATCTAGCCTCCATTTAAAACTTTCCAGCGTTCCAGCACTTACTACAAAGTTGCTAAGCTTGTTCCACTCGTCCACCACCCTATCTAGCCTCCTTTTAAAACTTTCCAGCGTTCCAGCACTTACTACAAAGTTGCTAAGCTTGTTCCACTCGTCCACCACCCTGTCTAGCCTCCTTTTAAAACTTTCCAGCGTTCCAGCACTTACTACAAAGTTGCTAAGCTTGTTCCACTCGTCCACCACCCTATTTGTGAACCAGTTCCTTCCTATCTCCCTCCTAAACCTAAACTTATCCAACTTGAATCCATTGCTCCGAGTCCTATCCTGCTCGGATATTATAAGAACTATATCTATATCCCCTTTATTGATTCCTTTCACCCACTTAAATACTTCTATCATATCTCCCCGCACTCTTCGTCTTTCTAGGGAATGAAAGTTTAGTTTCTTTAACCTATCTTGACACTCTCCTGCAGATCGACACACCCTGCGTATACACCTGACCTCCGTACATAAGCCCAAGACAATACCCTGCACGTTCGACGGCTGCGGAAAACTCTTCTCCACGACTGGCCTCATGACCTCTCACTATAGGTAAAGTCCGAGGTGTCGTGTTTACCCTCTGTGTTTGTTGTTGTTTGTGAGGTGTTTTATTTAGCATCTGTTCGTAAGAAATGCTGACCGGGAAAGACGGATTCTACGTTTTTTTTTTTTTCGTTTGTTTTAATGATCGATATATATATATATATAGTATTATTTATTCTATTCCTGATATATCACCATTTATCACCACAAACTATCACCATTAACCCACCACCACAACCACACTATCACCGTCTCACACCACACTATCACCACCACCACACCACCATAACTCGCCTACCACTACCACCACACCCTCTCACCATCAAATGTAAAAAAAACCTAACCTAATCTCATCCCAACAGGTACCACTTAAAGCATAGGTTCACCTGTGTAGAATGTGGACAAACGTTTAGTACAGAGTCGTATATGTACAAGCATAGAGACACCCACTCAGGTAAGTCTGGGTCATTAATTGGCCTTACCTGTGTGTATGTATGTATGTATGTATGTATGTATGTATGTGTGTCTCATTTGTATACACATTCTCTCACACACTCTATTTACACAGACACATCCCTACAGCCCCTCTCTCTCCCACAGGTATCCGTCCCTACGTGTGTACTGACTGCGGCAAGACGTATCTCAGCACATCTCACCTCAATAAGCACCGCAGGGCAGCACATTCCACCCTGAGGCCGTACCAGTGTTCTTACTGTGGCAAGTGTTACAAGGGCAAAGATCAGCTGACTTACCATGAGAACAGCCATAGGGGTGAGTGTGTGGGGTGTGTCAGGTGGTGTGGATGGGGTGGGTGTGGTGTGGTGTGGGGTGTGTGTGGTGTGGTGTGTGGTGTGGATGGGGTGGTGTCGAGTGGTGGGTGTCATGTTTTGTGTGTCAGATGTGTCAAGTAATGGATGTTTGGAATTTGTTTACATTATGATTTCTTGTTCCACTGTTGTCTAGAGTTTATCACCACCATTAATACCACTATCACCACTACCACTATCACCACCATCACCACTACCAGTCAATATATATGGGTCAATTTCTCTCCTTTCATCATCTTTAATAACAAAATTCATTACGATTTTATTAATTTGTCACGTTGATTTGTCTCTCTGGTTTGTCTACAGGCGAGAAACCATATCAGTGTAGCGTGTGCGGTTATGCCACGGCGTACAGACACACATATTACGTACACAAGAAAAAACACTTGAAACCCTCGCTCGGAGATCAGAACGCCAATCAGGACGACGGGTTGAGCAGCGTCGTGAAAGACCGTAAGCCAATCAGGAAACAGGCGGAGGGAGATGGCGACGCTACCAAGACGTCGACTCTACGTAAGGTTAAAAGTAGAGTTACAGTTTCCACCAATAAGAAGCAGTTAGGTAAAGTCGTTGAATGTCAGGTGGAGTCTGTGCCGACGGTTGTTAGTCAGTGTACGAGCGTTGGAGGGAGTAAGGACGGTAACGAGTCGTCGTTTGCGTCCAGTTCGCTGCCTCTGAGCGTCATCTACGTCGTGTCAGCAGGAGGAGGCGTCAACGGGGTGGTTCAGCAACAGCAGTTAACTCTCCCGGTTAAAGACGGTTCCAACGCCATCTTAATACAGTCTGGTGGTGACGGTCAGGATGTTTCTCTTCCCAGCTGCGTCCAGTCTGGGTCTAACCACCAGACGCTAGTTCACCCCCAGGACGGTACTCACCAGACGCTCGTTCACCCCCAGGACGGTACTCACCAGACGCTCGTTAACCACCAGGACGGTACTCACCAGACGCTCGTTCACCCCCAGGACGGTACTCACCAGACGCTCGTTCACCCCCAGGACGGTACTCACCAGACGCTCGTTAACCACCAGGACGGTACTCACCAGGCCTTCGTTCACCCCCAGGGTGGTACTCACCAGGCTTCGTTCACCCCAGGGCGGTACTCACCGGCCTTCGTTCACCCCCAGGACGGTACTCACCAGACGCTCGTTCACCCCCAGGACGGTACTCACCAGACACTCGTTAACCACCAGGACGGTACTCACCAGACGCTCGTTCACCCCCAAGACGGTACTCAACAGATGCTCGTTCACCCCCAAGTCGTTAAAACTACCTTCCCAACCAATAACCTACTGGAGAATAATCGTTTAGAATCGTTCAAGCCGTCGGATAAAGACGTCAACGCATCGTCCGAGAAGCAAGAATCGTGTATTTTTCTGTCAAGTACCGGTAAGTGCGCCGTGCCGTCATGTGACAGCCGCGACGACTCTCTCATGCTCTTGAAGGTCAGCGATAACTCCTACGTCGGCATCTGCGGCCATCACGCGTTCACAGAGGGTTCGGGGGACGGCCTCAGACAACTAGGGGCCATCGACGTACAGCCTCTGGCCGCGGTGAACGTACAGACGGAATACGACGTCAAGACCCTACACCTAGTGACCCCGGGGAGTACCGAAGTCTGTCTCCCTACCGACGTCGACCAACGAGGGACGGATAACCAGGAGGCGTTGATTACGACCGCCGAGAACGACACATCCGACGCTCACGCAGTTATCCACCAGACGGACGATATGGTCACCACGATAAATAGCGGCCATGTTGACACCACAAGCTGCCACCACACTACCAGCTGCCACACCGACACCCCCAGCTGCCACACCGACACCCCCAGCTGCCACCACACCACTACCTCTGACACCACCAATCAGGCAGAGAACAGCAAGATGACCCCAGGAGTAGTTTCTTCAGTGGAGGAATTCCCGACCATATTAGAACTAGACGCAGAAGGTGAGAATCTACCTGGCCATATTGTTGATGAGTCGTTCAGTATGGCCCAGTTGGAGGTCCTATGCCCCTTGTGTGATGAACAGTTCTTCTGTATGGCAGATTATGTCACTCACTTGGAGAGTTGCCATAATTGAGGAACTGCCTTACTGTATGATAATTATGTCACCTACCTGGAGTATATCACCATAACTAATGAACCACTTGATCATGTTACCTTACCTCCAGTATTGCCATAACTAAGGATCTCACCTGGGGAAGGAGTCGCCATACAGGTAAGCTGTCAACATGGCGACCTTTTTCCTCAAATAAATGTATATTTAATTTTGGTTTTTTTCCGACATTTTTTTTTCACTGTAATTTTATATCATGGTCAGCAAACTCTTGATTAATTCCTACCTTCCTTCCTTCCTTCCCTCCTTCACCTACCTACCTTCCCTCACCTACCTTCCTTCCCTCCTTCACCTACCTTCCTTCCTTCACTGTGCCCTTATGATTTGGTTCAGGATTATATATAGACAGTTATGACTTAAACCCTTAGTGCTCACCTGAAGATTAACCCCCCCTAGACGGTTTTGAGGAGGTTAATCTACAGGTGAGCACTCGGGGGGGGGGGGGGCTAATCAACAGGTGATCAATGTAGACCTAACTCCATAAATAATATCACCCGTAGCCTCGTTTACACATCTTAACGACTCTCCCAAAACACAAACTGGAACCACCAATCACCGCTCGGGTTAAAACTATGAAAATCCTCATTAATTCTTGGTAATTAGGATCATTAAGGTATAATTATTAATGATTTACTTTGAGAAATATCACATTGTGTTTTTTTCTTTCTGGATTATTTGGTAAGTGAAGGAAAAACGTGACTTGGATATTATTTATAAATTCTGGGGGATTATGAAAGTGATATACGCATCTGTTAGCTGGAACAATTGGTCCATAACACTTCCAGGAATGACAGATATCCAGGTAACCAGACGACTTACAAATCTGGCAAAAATATCCCCCCATCCCTGGAATTTTCTGGGTACTGGAAATTTTGTTGAGGTATTTCTGGAAAATGTGGCCCTTGGGAAATTTAAATTCTGGCTAATGGAGAGTTCTGAGTTTGAGGAATTCTGGCTAATGGAGAGTTCTGAGTTTGAGGAATTCTGGCTAAAGGAGAGTTCTGAGTTTGAGGAATTCTGGCTAAAGGAGAGTTCTGAGTTTGAGGAATTCTGGCTAAAGGAGAGTTCTGAGTTTGAGGAATTCTGGCTAATGGAGAGTTCTGAGTTTGAGGAATTCTGGCTAAAGGAGAGTTCTGAGTTTGAGGAATTCTGGCTAAAGGAGAGTTCTGAGTTTGAGGAATTCTGGCTAAAGGAGAGTTCTGAGTTTGAGGAATTCTGGCTAAAGGAGAGTTCTGAGTTTGAGGAATTCTGGCTAAAGGAGAGTTCTGAGTTTGAGGAATTCTGGCTAAAGGAGAGTTCTGAGTTTGAGGAATTCTGGCTAAAGGAGAGTTCTGAGTTTGGAGGAATTCTGGCTAAAAGGAGAGTTCTGAGTTTGAGGAATTCTGGCTAAAGGAGAGTTCTGAGTTTGAGGAATTCTGGCTAAGGAGAGTTCTGAGTTTGAGGAATTCTGGCTAATGGAAAGTTCTGAAGTTCTGAGAGTTCTGAGTTTGAGGAATTCTGGCTAAAGAGAGTTTGAGGAATTCTGGCTAAAGGAGAGTTCTGAGTTTGAAATTCTGGCTAAAGGAGAGTTCTGAGTTTGAGGAATTCTGGCTAAGGAGAGTTCTGAGTTTGAAATTCTGGCTAAAGGAGAGTTCTGAGTTTGAGGAATTCTGGCTAAAGGAGAGTTCTGAGTTTGAGGAATTCTGGCTAAAGGAGAGTTCTGAGTTTGAGGAATTCTGGCTAAAAGGAGAGTTCTGAGTTTGAGGAATTCTGGCTAATGGAGAGTTCTGAGTTTGAGGAATTCTGGCTAATGGAGAGTTCTGAGTTTGAGGAATTCTGGCTAAGGAGAGTTCTGAGTTTGAGGAATTCTGGCTAGTTCTGAGTTTGAGGAATTCTGGCTAAAGGAGAGTTCTGAGTTTGAGGAATTCTGGAGAGTTCTGAGTTTGAGAATTCTGGCTAAGGGAGAGTTCTGAGTTTGAGGAATTCTGGCTAAAGGAGAGTTCTGAGTTGAGGAATTCTGGCTAAGGAGAGTTCTGAGTTTGAAATTCTGGCTAAGGAGAGTTCTGAGTTTGAGGAATTCTGGCTAAAGGAGAGTTCTGAGTTTGAGGAATTCTGGCTAAAGGAGAGTTCTGAGTTTGAGGAATTCTGGCTAAAGGAGAGTTCTGAGTTTGAGGAATTCTGGCTAATGGAGAGTTCTGAGTTTGAGGAATTCTGGCTAAAGGAGAGTTCTGAGTTTGAGGAATTCTGGCTAAAGGAGAGTTCTGAGTTTGAGGAATTCTGGCTAAAGGAGAGTTCTGAGTTTGAGGAATTCTGGCTAAAGGAGACATTACTGTATTGTACTACCAGGGATAATAGTTTAAGGTGTGTACACTTTCCAGAGTACATACATGTGTGTGTGGAAAAGGTCTACACAGTGCATTAAACACACCCCCCACAGTCTTCCACCTCCTCACAAGGCAATTTAAAATCTCATCAAAACAAACAAACAATTCCTTACAAACAAACAAATTCCTTAAAATTAACAAACACAAAAGGGGCAAGAAAAATATTCAGTTTTTAGCCAATGGTTTTTTTATTACCATTTGACAATACATAAAAATCTTACACTAGACCACAAACGGAAAAAATTGTAGGGATTATTTTTTTTGGGATGGGGTCAAAGGGGGGGTGGGGGTGGGTAGAGGAGGGGTTCGGGGGTAAGGGTGTGGGAAGGATTTTTTTTGAGAGAGGAGGCTGGTGTGGTAGGGGTGATTTTTTTTTACACGATACAAATCCAGTTTCCTAAGATCTATCTGAGATCGAATACCAAAAAATAAACCCAGCATTGTTTATTAACACTGATGGTTTAATACACAGAAAATAAACCTAATTAATAATAAACTTCCTGGAATGACTATGTAGCGACCCTCATGTCTAAGAAAATAATCCAGGTAGATGACGTCTTAATAAAGGCTTAATCCAGGTAAGTGACACTGGATCAAGTCTTAATCCAGGTAGATGACGTCTTAATAAAGGCTTAATCCAGGTAAATTAAACACTGGATCAAGTCTTAATCCAGGTAGATGACGTCTTAATAAAGGCTTAATCCAGGTAAATTAAACACTGGATCAAGTCTTAATCCAGGTAGATGACGTCTTAATAAAGGCTTAATCCAGGTAAATTAAACACTGGATCAAGTCTTAATCCAGGTAGATGACGTCTTAATAAAGGCTTAATCCAGGTAAATTAAACACTGGATCAAGTCTTAATCCAGGTAGATGATGTCTTAATAAAGGCTTAATCCAGGTAAATTAAACACTGGATCAAGTCTTAATCCAGGTAAGTAAGACACTGGATCAAGTCTTAATCCAGGTAAGAAACTGGATCAAGTTTTAATCCAGGTAAATAAGAGACTGGATCAAGTTTTAATCCAAGTAAGACATCTGAATCAAGTTTTAATCCAAGTAAATTAGGCTTTTTGCATCTGATGCTTGCTGCTGGAGTTGCTGTTGCTGATGCAGAAGGAGCGATGCCCTGGTGGCTGCCGAGATGGTGCCGCCATGGGTTGTGGGCGGCTGCTGCTGCTGCTGTAAACCCACATCCAGGAGTGGGTTGGAGGCCGCCAGCATGTGTAGACTGGCGCTGAGGCTCGCTAAACTCACCTGAGCGCTTGGCACACCTGGGGGGGGCAGAGACACGTTTTTTTTTACAGGTATTCTGGGGTACTTACCTCACCTCCCAGCCAATGAGAGTACTCCATATACCACCGGCCAATGAGAGTACTCCACACTGCGAGACTAATGTACTGTACATACCACGGGCCAATCAGAGTACTCCACATATCACCGGCCAATGAGAGTACTCCACATACCACCGGCCAATGAGAGTACTCCACATACCACTGGCCAATGAGAGCACTCCGCCACAACTCTAATCTACGTAAGAAGAAAAATAAGGCGCTGACACGTTAGGTTAGGTTAGGTTAGTCCTCTAGTTCGCTTTAACAACACAATTGACATGTGAACACACTATGGTGTCTGGTCATAATTAATTAGCAATTTATGGCAATATTTAAGAATTTATGGCAATATTAAAGAATTTCTGACTAAGAATTTCTGGCAATATTTAAGAACTTCTGGCAATATTTAAGAACTTCTGGCAATATTTAAGAATTTATGGCAATATTTAAGAATTTATGGCAATATTAAAGAATTTCTGACTATTTAAGAATTTCTGGCAATATTTAAGAACTTCTGGCAATATTTAAGAACTTCTGGCAATATTTAAGAACTTCTGGCAATATTTAAGAACTTCTGGCAATATTTAAGAACTTCTGGCAATATTTAAGAACTTCTGGCAATATTTAAGAACTTCTGGCAATATTTAAGAATTTATGGCAATATTTAAGAATTTCTGGCAATATTAAAGAATTTCTGGCAATATTTAAGAACTTCTGGCAATATTTAAGAACTTCTGGCAATATTTAAGAACTTCTGGCAATATTTAAGAACTTCTGGCAATATTTAAGAACTTCTGGCAATATTTAAGAACTTCTGGCAATATTTAAGAACTTCTGGCAATATTTAAGAATTTCTGGCAATATTTAAGAACTTCTGGCAATATTTAACAACTTCTGGCAATATTTAACAACTTCTGGCAATATTTAAGAACTTCTGGCAATATTTAAGAACTTCTGGCAATATTTAAAAACTTCTGGCAATATTTAAGAACTTCTGGCAATACATTGTGGCAATATTTAACAACTCCACGTAAGAATTAACATTTGGTAATAAATCTTTATCTTACATAAAGTTAAAATTCAAGGTTAAATACATAAATTTATATCAAAACCTCCATATAACGAACTCTTGTCACTATAGTCCGCTAAACCGAGGTTCCATATATAAAGGACCCTCGATAAAATGAACTTTTTATCTATAGAATTCATTATATGGAGGTTTCACATATAACGGACCCTCGATACAATGGATTTTCTCAACTCTAGTTCATTATATGGAGGTTCCACATCTAACAGACCCTCGATATAACGGACAATCCTCGATACAGTCCATTAAATCGAGGTTCCGTTAAAAAAAAACCACAGAATCAATAAACAGATAAGTATCCCCTCCCACGAGGTATAATGAAGCAGTAAGCAAGCAAACGGGGTGATTACAAGCGATCGTTAGTGATGGTCAGGTAAACGAGCAACAGTCAGGTGGAACTAGTAGCAGATGTGTTCGACCAATAGCGTGAGAGGACGATATCTTAGGTGCTATTACAACAAAACAGAGTGGTTGTTTGTGTGTGGTGATTAGACTTTCAGGGGTTGTTAAGGGTTGTGATTAGACTTTCAGGGGTTGTGAAGCAGTGGAATATAATTACTTTCATGGGTTGTAATTACACTTCCATGGGTTATGAAGCAGGGGTTGTAGTTGTAATTATAACAGGTGATGGTAACAATGGGGAAAAGGTTGAATACTAATAAACTACAACTCACAACCATAAGATAATGAATTAACTAGTTGTAATTTCACTAAGACAATGACCTACAACTCACAATCCTGAAAAAACAAAAAAAAAGTTGTAATTTTCGCCACAAATCGAGGAAATGAACAAAGTGTCAGGGTTGTAATTTTATAACCAAAGGAATTAACTTTGTGTGTACATGTTGTGAGTGTCTGTGTGTGTATTAGTTTATGTACGTTCATGTGTGTGTGTAGACGATTAATTAGGTTACTTAATTACCCAAGCGTCTCGCCTAACCAAACTAAACACCTATTTCTGGGGGATTAAAACAATGTACCTTTATTTGTTAATTATTGACAGGTGACATGGTTAACACCTGTCGTGACCTCGTTAAGGGGCAGGCGACATGGTTAACACCTGTTCTTGCTGTTATTACACTATCATGCTATGGTAGTGTGTGAGGCAACAGGTAGTAGGTATTGTAGCAGGGAATAGTGTATGGTTATGGTAGCAGGTGGTAGTTAGGCAAAGGTCTAATCACCAAGCGTGTCAACATGCTAAACAGCCAATAGGAAATCACATTCGCTTGGCTAGGGATGACAAGCCATTAGCCCCCACTGGTAGTCAGGAGTTGGTCGTTATCATCCGTTTATTAATTACCATTTCTCATTCATTCATTAATATTTATTTTTGTTGATTTCGATTTTTTTTTTGGTCGTATCTGAATTCGTTTATTGACTTGTGGGGTGAACTAGGGGTGATGTGGTCCTTATCACCTGTAGATTAGCTCCCCACCAAGTGTTTACCTGTAGATTAGCTCCCCACCACGTGTTTACCTGTAGATTAGCTCCCCACCACGTGTTTACCTGTAGATTAGCTCCCCACCACGTGTTTACCTGTAGATTAGCTCCCCACCACGTGTTTACCTGTAGATTAGCTCCCCACCATGTGTTTACCTGTAGATTATTTCCCCCAAGTGCTCACCTTAAGCCACCTCCACCCAACCAAATCTAACCACCCCATAACTATCTTGGGAGCTAACATGAAAATGATTACTTGGGGGGGGGGGTGCTAATCGTCAGGTAAGCCATAAGGTCTAAAATTACACACACACACAGTCTCATTCGAAGCCATTCCTACACCACCCTCGTGTCTGATAAACGCCAATATTCCGAGACTACGAAACAATATATCAACGTCGTCAGAGGTAAACACACGGAATCGGACCCTAATGAAAAATTTGTCGTGATTTAGGCATACATTCAAATATACAGACACAGACAGACAGACAGACACATCGTAAAGACTGGCACTTGACATGAGGATTGATATTTTCAGACTTCTATTATACAGGGTGGTCCATAAGTGATGCTATTATACAGGGTGGTCCATAAATAGTTTTAATAAACCATGGCGTGTATTACCGAGACACAAATAAAGTTAATGACTGAATTGTTAAATGTCAACAGTAATACAGTCCACCCCCTGATTACTTAATGCAAACTACAGCTGATCACAAGTAACTATCACACACGAGGTCACGGGCCCTAAAGGTGATGTTAATGTTCGTCACCCTGTTCCTCAATGCCATACACCTTGGTTTATGTGGCCCTACAGGTAGTAATGAAGGGGGTTTATGTGAGGTGGCCATGACTGAGGTGGCCATGACTGAGGTGGCCATGAGCCCCACCTACCACACCTGCCATAATCTATTGTAACTCTCAAACTATTTACAATTAATTAAGTCATTTAGTCATTAACTTTATTTGTGCCTCAGTAATACACACGATGAATTATTGAAGCTATTTATGGACCACCCTGTGTAATAACTACGTCTGTAACCCCCCTCCCCCCGCCCCATCCGGATTCATCAACATCCTCACACCAACAGTACAGTGCAAAGTTTGACCATCGACCAACAACTGATATACAATAGTGACAATTTCAACTCAAAATATAGGAACAAAACTATTAGGGCGACACTCGGTACTTAACAGCCAATGTCGACCTGACCTGAAGCACCCTGTCCACCATACACTCACCCCCACCACTGGATGAGAAGCCTAGAAACACCGCAAACTACACTGGGAGAGAAATGACGACTCCCTAACTACATCACAAGGGACAAGAACCATCTCCAACACCCTGCGGAGGACCCCCCCCAAGACCACGTGGTTCGTCTGTAGTGAGGTAGAGAATCAACACCCCAGGCAGTCAGCGCTAACATCAGGTCACAAGAATGTTTACAAGTCCAGCTTAAATACCACCACATCTATAATAAATCTATATGTTGACTCTATGTTGACTATGTTTCTATATTGAAAGTTTTTGTCAATCAAGTGACCAGACTGAACGCCTCCAGCATATGCAACTAATCATCTCTGTTCATTGTATATTATTAACCTCCGGGCTGCTGCCAGGTTATATTAACTCACTCTCTCTCTCTCTCACACCCAAAACCTAACCTAACCATCTCAAAACCACATTCCTTTTCATGTGTATTAAAGTAAAGCCAAGAGGAAGAGAGAGGGAAGGGAGAGGAGGAAGAGAGAGAGAGATAGAGAGGCACCTCCTAACCACTGTGTTAATGTCTCTACTCCTTCTGACCACCGTAGGATTGTCTCTACTCCTGACCACCAGAGAGAGAGAGAGATAGAGAGGCACCTCCTGACCAGTGTGTTAATGTCTCTACTCCTCCCCAACGTAGGATTGGCTCTACTCCTGACCACCATAGGATAGCCGCCTCCTGACCACCTGTGACAGCCTGCACACTCACCGAGATTTGGGTTAGTGTCACACTGGGCCACGGAGCATCAGTAGGTAGCATCAGCAGCACAGCAGGTGTAACAGCAGCAGTAGCATCAGCAGCAGTAGCATCAGGGGGTCTACTTGGAGGCAGGGTTGACAGCCAGGGATGGGATACCTGGGAAAGCAGCTTGGACAGAACCTGGGGCGGTGGCAGCGCCGGGGAGGGAGTACTGGGGTCGGAAGTTGGCAAAGTTTGCGTTTCCGAGAGTCTGTAGTTGACCGGCCGGCGAGTAGCCCACTGGGAACGGGGTCGTCTCTTGACCTGTGGAGGGGGTTAAAGATCAATTAGTTTGGTGATAGAGGTCAATTAGGTGATAAATCAGGTCAATTATTAGTCTATTGATGTATAAATGTGGTGACCTTTGGTGGGGGTTAAAGGTCAATTAGGTGATAAATCAGGTCAATTATTAGTCTATTGATGTATAAATGTGGTGACCTTAGGTGGGGGTTTAAAGGTCAATTAGGTGATAAATGAGGTCAACTATTAATCTATAAATTAGAAATGTGGGATAAATGAAGTTTTATCCAGATTATTACTGTATTAAAAATAGACTACACCTTTTCACATATCTGTTGAGACATTGTTACATAACTATTTGACAAATTTCATAACTGAATGACAGAACACATATTGAATGACACTCTAAAATAACTGTTGGTTCATGCCGACAGGAAGTGACTGACGTAAGTTATGAGGTTGACAGCCGTGAACAATAAACCGACAGTCTACATAGAGTTTGAGAATGTAACAACTGGAGAATGACAGACGACCAACAGTTATTTTAGAGTGTCATTCAATATGTGTTCTGTCATTCAGTTATGAAATTTGTCAAATAGTTATGTAACAATGCCTCAACGGATATGTGAAAAGGTGTATTACTGTATTAAAAATAGATTATTATTGTATTAAAATACAGTAAAAGTCCAAAAATCCAGAAGCCAGAAATCCGGACCACCCGAGAATCCGGACTTTTCTAAAACTCAAACTTTTTTTTTTAGTGGGCTTGTGTGTGTGTGTGCGCATGCGTGAGCGCCACAGCTGCACAGCCACCACGTGGTCGCCACTTTAAAACGAGCAATCAAACTGTGACAACGTATGTAATTTTGAGTCCTACTATTTCCATGTACAGAGTACTGTACTGTACAAGCCCATAATAATGGTTCCTAAAGTAGATAAACTTGGTTGTGTGAAGAGAAAGAAGAACACGTTGAAACTGAGTGACAAACTTGAAATAATTAAGACACTAGAACGTGGTGTGAGCAACACTGATCTAATGGAAACATACCACATTGGAAAGTCTACAATTTATGATTTAAAAAACACAAAGAATAAAAGTCTAGAATTCACAGCTTTATCATTAAAACTGCTCCTTTTGATAAATGAACCATGCTATATTACTAGTGAATAAACTATCAAAATGTACCTGTTCATCTCTTCTTTATTCCTCCTTAAATTGGAATTTTAAAAGTACTGCCTGAGAGTCCAGACCGACCCAATCCCCAGGCTGTCCGGATTTTTGGACTTCTACTGTAGACTATTATTGTATTAAAAATAGACTATTATTGTATTAGTGTGTTCATGTATGTGTGTGTTAGTGTGTGTGTGTGTGTGTGTGTGTGTGTGTGTGTGTGTGTGTGTGTAAATAATCCTCAGTGACCAAACAACGAAAACACAACAAAAAAATAAGACAAAATCAAAACAAATAAACTATAAAAAAAGCGAAGAAAAACAGACAATAAAAAAACTTAGTAAAAATACTGAACAAAAGTTAATACTGAAAACTACACAACAGCAAGTTAGCAAAATTATTAATAAAACAAATAATTCTTTTTTGTTTCCTCCAACAAAAACAAACAAACACACAGTTGTTTAACCACTTAGGGGCAATAAATGAAGCCATGCATAAGCACAGATGATATACTATACAATATAATGGAACAAGAGACTATGGAAATTAGGTCACAGATTCGAGGCTATGGAAATTAGGTCACAGATTCGAGGCTATGGAAATTAGGTCACAGATTCGAGGCTATGGAAATTAGGTCACAGATTCGAGACTATGGAAATTAGGTCACAGATTCGAGGCTATGGAAATTAGGTCACAGATTCGAGGCTATGGAAATTAGGTCACAGATTCGAGGCTATGGAAATTAGGTCACAGATTCGAGGCTATTTGCTATTAGACCAAGAAAATAGGAAGGATGTGTGTATTAGGTCGTAGATTCGAGGCTATTTGCTATTAGACCAAGAAAATAGGAAGGATGTGTGTATTAGGTCATAGATTCGAGGCTATTTGCTATTAGACCAAGAAAATAGGAAGGATGTGTGTATTAGGTCGTAGATTTGAGGCTATTTGCTATTAGACCAAGAAAATAGGAAGGATGTGTGTATTAGGTCGTAGATTCGAGGCTATTTGCTATTAGACCAAGAAAATAGGAAGGATGTGTGTATTAGGTCGTAGATTTGAGGCTATTTGCTATTAGACCAAGAAAATAGGAAGGATGTGTGTATTAGGTCACAGATTCGAGGCTATTTGCTATTAGACCAATAAAATAGCAATGATATATGACATTTATTTGGGATTAAAAAGTATTCACTGTGTAAAATTGACTTAAAATCTATTATATGCGTTAAATTGGCCAGTTTAGTGTCTTTTAACGAGCTAACGAGGTGATTGCGTATTCTCCTAATATAATCTTACCTAAATCTAACCCTATGCAGCTAAAATAATCACCACAAGGGAAAACTATAGAGAAAATTAATCACAGCTGCACAGGAACTTTACAATGTATATAGTTTAGAAATGGTTATAGAATTAGTGGTATATTGCAGTGAACCATGAGAGAGAGAGAGAGAGAGAGACCACTATACTAAAGTTAAGTAAAACAACAATATACCAGATAACAGAGAGGCAGAGAGAGAGAGAGAAAGTGAGTAAGAGAGAGAGTTATATAGCAGCGTAGACTTCCCCTCACCTCCCCCCTGAGCGGTCTTGTCCAAATTACCAGCTCCGGAGGCCAGGCGGGAGAGAATGGATCGCTCGGACATCTGTAGCCTCTGGGCCACTGGGGGTATGCGGGCGAGAGACGCTGGCAGCCGCGTCACGTCGGACTTCATGTCGGACAGAAGTTCCTCCAGCTGGTTTAATACCTGTGGGGGGGAAGGCGTTTGAGATCCATGGCGTCCAAGATGGGTGGTTTAAGTCAGATCCAAGTCCAACTGGGTGGTTTAAGTCAGATCCAAGTCTGACTAGCTCGTTTATGTCAGGCTGGGTGGTTTATGTCTGACTAACTCATTTAAGTCCAATGGTTAAGTCCAGCTAACTGATTTAAGTCCAATTAAATAGCCAAGTCCAACTAACATACATTAAGTCCAACTAATGTTAAATTAATCTTTTCAAATCCAACATTTCCACTAACAAATTATTACTTTATATAATTACCTAAATAATTAATCTAAACAAATCAGATAAGTCCAACAAATTTTTAACTTATGCCTTAAATAATTGTATTGAGATAATTTTGTTTTGATTATAAATTATTGATAAACCTCCATCTAATGAACTATATAGAGATGAAAGTCCATTATATCAAGGGCCCATTATATGTAAAACCTCCATCTAATGAACTATATAGAGATGAAAGTCCATTATATCAAGGGCCCATTATATGTAAAACCTCCATCTAATGAACTATATAGAGATGAAAGTCCATTACATCAAGGGCCCATTATATGTAAAACCTCCATCTAATGAACTATATAGAGATGAAAGTCCATTATATCAAGGGCCCATTATATGTAAAACCTCCATCTAATGAACTATATAGAGATGAAAGCCCATTACATCAAGGGCCCATTATATGTAAAACCTCCATCTAATGAACTATATAGAGATGAAAGTCCATTATATCAAGGGCCCATTATATGTAAAACCTCCATCTAATGAACTATATAGAGATGAAAGTCCATTACATCAAGGGCCCATTATATGTAAAACCTCCATCTAATGAACTATATAGAGATGAAAGTCCATTATATCAAGGGCCCATTATATGTAAAACCTCCATCTAATGAACTATATAGAGATGAAAGTCCATTATATCAAGGGCCCATTATATGTAAAACCTCCATCTAATGAACTATATAGAGATGAAAGTCCATTATATCAAGGGCCCATTATATGTAAAACCTCCATTAATGAACTATATAGAGATGAAAGTCCATTATATCAAGGGCCCATTATATGTAAAACCTCCGTCTAATGAACTATATAGAGATGAAAGTCCATTATATCAAGGGCCCATTATATGTAAAACCTCCATCTAATGAACTATATAGAGATGAAAGTCCATTATATCAAGGGCCCATTATATGTAAAACCTCCACCTAATGAACCATATAGAGATGAAAGTCCATTATATCAAGGGCCCATTGTATGTAAAACCTCCATCTAATGAACCATATAGAGATGAAAGTCCATTATATCAAGGGGTCCATTATACGTAAAACCCTCCATCTAATGAACTATATAGATATGAAAGTCCATATCAAGGGTCCAATATATGTAAACCTCCATCTAATAAATCATATAGAGATGAAACCATTATATCAAGGCCCATTATAAAAACCCATCTAACAGAAATTGCAGCAGAGATGAAAGTCCATTACATCAAGGGTCCATTATATGTAAAACCTCCATCTAATGAACTATATAGAGATGAAAGTCCATTATATCAAGGGCCCATTATATGTAAAACCTCCATTTAATGAACTATATAGAGATGAAAGTCCATTATATCAAGGGCCCATTATATGTAAAACCTCCATCTAATGAACTATATAGAGATGAAAGTCCATTATATCAAGGGCCCATTATATGTAAAACCTCCATTTAATGAACTATATAGAGATGAAAGTCCATTATATCAAGGGTCCATTATATGTAAAACCTCCATCTAATGAACTATATAGAGATGAAAGTCCATTATATCAAGGGTCCATTATATGTAAAACCTCCATCTAATGAACTATATAGAGATGAAAGTCCATTATATCAAGGGCCCATTATATGTAAAACCTCCACCTAATGAACTATATAGAGATGAAAGTCCATTATATCAAGGGCCCATTATATGTAAAACCTCCATCTAATGAACTATATAGAGATGAAAGTCCATTATATCAAGGGCCCATTATATGTAAAACCTCCATCTAATGAACTATATAGAGATGAAAGTCCATTATATCAAGGGGTCCATTATATGTAAAACCTCCATCTAATGAACTATATAGAGATGAAAGTCCATTATATCAAGGGTCCATTATATGTAAAACCTCCATCTAATGAACTATATAGAGATGAAAGTCCATTATATCAAGGGCCCATTATATGTAAAACCTCCATCTAATGAACTATATAGAGATGAAAGTCGATTATATCAAGGGCCCATTATATGTAAAACCTCCATCTAATGAACTATATAGAGATGAAAGTCCATTATATCAAGGGCCCATTATATGTAAAACCTCCATCTAATGAACTATATAGAGATGAAAGTCCATTATATCAAGGGCCCATTATATGTAAAACCTCCATATAACGAACTAAAGTCCATCCCTAAGATGACCAACAATTGCCACACACCTCCAGAACAATATCTTCTGTACGCGACCAGGCAGAGGCTCACAGGCACACCTCTGGCAGGTCCACTCTCCCTCTGGCACCTTGTATAGGGGCGGAGACAGGCAGTACGTGTGGTAGGCGTTGACGCACGAATCACAGCACAGCAATTCACCTCCGTCCTGCGGGAAAAATGACGATAAACATAGTCGTACGTACGTTAATAAATAAATATAATTCTCGTAAATATAATTCTCGAACATGTAAACAAATAAACAAAGACACTCGTACAAGTAAACCTAACCTAACACTAACCTAACCATACCCTAACCTAACCCTATTTCAACCAAACAAAAGTATTATTTAACTTTAGGCCATACAGTAGTGCTCCCCGAAGATATAAACAATTGAATCTTTTAAATCTCTTTATTCCGATCATTTTGAACCTCGTATACCCGGCGGAAATGGATAATAGCGACCCAATTGAATTTAATCGATTTTACGGAGTTTTCGGTCTTCCCGAGATGTTATTGTCGTGGCCCGAGTTATGGATCACGGACGGGTAATATTAACCGACGTCATCCAGTCGTGACCAATGAGGTATCTATATCAGGATAATTTTTTTCGACCAATCGCATTTGAATTTACGCCAACAATGAAGGTCAGATTGGTTTAAAACTCGCCAAATAATACACGGGGAAAAACATATTGGTCGACCTCCGGTGATTTGTGTCGAAAGGTTAAAATTTACCACTTAACCTAACCCTACCCTCCCAGTACACCCTCGACCACCTCCCCCTCGATCACCTCCCCCTCGACCACTACCCCTCGACCAACCATCACTCACCTTACAAACTTTACAGTACTCCATATGCTCGTCCCCTTCCTTGACCCCCTCGACCACCTCCCCCTCGACCACTACCCCTCGACCAACCATCACTCACCTTACAAACTTTACAGTACTCCATATGCTCATCCTCTTCCTTCACCCCCTCGACCTCACAGGTGGGACAAGACCATTTCCCCTCAGGTGCCTCCTCCAGCTCGGGCTCAAGACACACCAGGTGGTAGGCCTTGGGGCACGTGTCGCACAGAATGATCTCACCGCCTTGTTGACACACCTCGCAGTAATCCTGATTGGGGGGAGACTAGTTAAGTATAAGAAAATATTAGTTAAATGTCCTGGAAAAATATCGAAGACATTGTATTAAAATTTTACAAATGTCTCGAAATTTATTTAGAAATTGAGTTTACGTTTGTCTTATTAAATGTCTGAAATTTGATTAAAGTCGGTGAAGGGAAGTTTATCTTGAGTAAAACCTCGATATAACGGAATAGCCTCCCCATGGAGTTCGTTAAATTGAGGTTTCACTGTATCAAATGCCTTCAGAAACATCGAAGATATTATGTGAAATATCCTGAGTATTATTCTGTCAAATATCATCAATAGTGAAGAAATTTACGACACGTTTACATTATTCTTGTCAATAAGTCGTCAACAGACATTTTTCTGGTGTAAATGTTGTTAAAATTTTAATAGAGTGTCGTAGAGATATTAATAAGAGTACATTGCTAGTCTTGAAGCTATTAGTATATAAATAGGAAAGATATTAGTTCATTACTAGTCTTTAAACTATTAGTACGATATATTAATATTAACGATATTAGTTCAAAATTAGTCTTGAAAATGTTAATAATGTTAAAATACTGTCATGTTAAACTGTCAGGCAAGATTACACTTGACACACCAATCACCAACCCAGCACTGATCATGTCACCCAGGCAGCAGAACTGATCCATGACTCATAACACAGCAGCCTTCAGCACCCCCTCCAGCACTGATCATGTCACCCAGGCAGCAGTACTCATCCATGACTCATAACACAGCAGCCTTCAGCACCCCCTCCAGCACTGATCATGTCACCCAGGCAGTACTCACCCATGACTCACAACACAGCAGCCTTCAGCACCCCCTCAGCACTAGTCATATGTCGCAGGCAGCAGTGCTCATCCATGACTCATAACACAGCAGCCTTCAGCACCCCCTCCAACACACAGTCATGTCACCCAGGCAGCAGTACTCACCCATGACTCACAACACAGCAGCCTTAGCACCCCCTCAACACTGATCATGTCACCCAGGCAGCAGTACTCATCCATGACTCACAACACAGCAGCCTTCAACTTCCCTCCAACACCTCCAACACTGATCATGTCACCCAGGCAGCAGAACTCATCCATGACTCACAACACAGCAGCCTTCAGCACCCCATCCAGCACTGATCATGTCACCCAGGCAGCAGAACCCATTCCATGACTCACAACACAGCAGCCTTCATCACCCTCTCCAACACTGATCATGTCACCCAGGCAGCAGAACTCATCCATGACTCACAACACAGCAGCCTTCAGCACCCCATCCAGCACTGATCATGTCACCCAGGCAGCAGAACCCATTCCATGACTCACAACACAGCAGCCTTCATCACCCTCTCCAACACTGATCATGTCACCCAGGCAGCAGAACTCATCCATGACTCACAACACAGCAGCCTTCAGCACCCCATCCAGCACTGATCATGTCACCCAGGCAGCAGAACCCATTCCATGACTCACAACACAGCAGCCTTCATCACCCTCTCCAACACTGATCATGTCACCCAGGCAGCAGAACTCATCCATGACTCACAACACAGCAGCCTTCAGCACCCCATCCAGCACTGATCATGTCACCCAGGCAGCAGAACCCATTCCATGACTCACAACACAGCAGCCTTCATCACCCTCTCCAACACTGATCATGTCACCCAGGCAGCAGAACTCATCCATGACTCACAACACAGCAGCCTTCAGCACCCCATCCAGCACTGATCATGTCACCCAGGCAGCAGAACCCATTCCATGACTCACAACACAGCAGCCTTCATCACCCTCTCCAACACTGATCATGTCACCACCACCTACACACACAGGTCACCACACAGATCACCACACAGGTCACCACACACAGGTCACCACACAGTCACCATACACAGGTCACCATACACAGTCTACACACAGATCACCACACACAGGTCTGCACACAGGTCACCACACACAGGTCACCACACACAGGTCACCACAGTCACCACACACAGGTCACCACACACAGGTCACCACACACACAGGTCACCACACACAGGTCACCATACACAGGTCACCACACACAGGTCACCACACAGTCACCACAGTCACCACACACAGGTCACCACACACAGGTCACCACACAGTACCATACACAGGTCACCACAGTCTGCCATACACAGGTCACCATACAGATCTGCATACACAGGTCACCACACAGGTCACCACACAGTCACCACAGTCACCACACACAGGTCACCACACACAGGTCACCACACGGTCACCATACACAGGTCACCACACACACAGGTCACCACACACAGGTCACCATACACAGGTCACCACACACAGGTCCTGCAGTCACCCACCGGTCACCACACACAGGTCACCACACACAGGTCACCACACACAGGTCACCATACACAGTCACCACACACGGGTCACCACAGGTCACCACACAGGTCACCATACACAGGTCACCACACACAGGTCACCACACACAGGTCACCACACACAGGTCACCATACACAGGTCACCATACACAGGTCACCACACACAGGTCACCACACACAGATCACCACACACAGGTCACCACACACAGGTCACCACACACAGATCACCATTAATACTCACTTGGTGATCAGTCTCATAACCATCCTCATCTTTAGCCTTCATTCTCTTCCTCCTTTTGGACTTGTTGCCAATCTTAGTCTTGGCCTTCTTCTTGGTTCCAGTGACCTGCTCGGCCTCATCCTCGGCCTTGTTCATGTCCTCGGCCTCGGCCAACATCTGCTCGAACTCGGCGTCGCTGTCCTGGCTCGAGTCGTCCTCCTGGGGGCAGGAATCCCGCGTTACGATTAGCCTTACCACGAAGCGTCGGCCGGAGGGACTTGTATGACCAACCAAGGCCATCCACACACTAATTATTTTTGTCTCACTTGAAGCAAAAAAATATAACAACTTTTTTTTATGGGGGTCTTTTTTTTTTTCTCTTGAATGTCTTTTTTTGCAGATGAATTTAGTTTAGAATCCAATGTGAAGGATTTGATACTGTGTTATATATGACAAGTATTGGTGGGGGCAGCCAGTACACTGCCCCACAGAGACATGGGTTTATAGGTACTGCCCCACAACCCACAGACATGGGTATCTGTCTTCTGTACAGTGAACAACACGAGGGAGGACTGATGCCCACCAAGTAAACAATACTGCAACATGATATTAAAAAAAAACAAAAAAAAAAATCAAAACTGTTCTACAAAGAAATGAAATAGAGAAAGAGAAACAGGAAGAAAGAGAGAGAGAGAGAGAGATAGAGAGAGAGAAAAAACCTTATTTATACAATCGTAGAACATGCTTAAATAACTGTAGTTGTAGGAAAAACATACGTTCTCTCGTTCCTGCGGTTGCGCCTCATATGTTTTGTTCAACCCCTTGTCTTGGACCTGTCAGATGAAGGGCCAAAGGACAAGCAAAAATTTTTTAAAAGCAAAGTGGAATGAATTTGTTTTAATTATTGTCGTTTTTTTTAAGGATATAAGATAAATACCCTGGCCATTAGGAGAGGGCATTGTGGGTACAAGAATTGGGTATTTGAAGGCAGTCATTTACACTTTTTACACAAAATTACCCTAATTTGGGGGTAATTACAGCCTTGTGTCATGCCCTGGCCATTAGGAGAGGGCATTGTGGGTACAAGAATTGGGTATTTGAAGGCAGTCATTTACACTTTTTACACAATATTACCCTAATTTCGGGGTAATTACAGCCTTGTGTCATACCCTGGCCATTAGGATAGAGAGGAAGAAAAATGGACACAACAATAGGTTATTAAAGACAGCCATTTTAAAACTCTTTCACACAATAATATCCTGCCTTGGGTACTTAAAAAAAACATCTATGTGGTAAAGGAACATTAGGCGCTACTCATAAAAGTTATCCTGCATGTTAAAAGTAGCACAGGAACACCATTAAACACCATTTTAGAGTGAGTGGGTGTGTTACTCTGGCCACACACTCTACACACACACTCTAACAGAAGTAAAACAAATTGAATTTATTGGGACTTGTGTGTTATAACATGTAACACACTTGTAACAGTATCTAGAGTGCGTGGGTGTGTTACTCTACCCACGCACTCAACAGAAGTGAATAAAACCTTGAAAAAAAAACACCACAGACAAAAACCACACACACTTTAGAAGAACTTAAAACCACACACACTTTAGAAGAACTTAAAACCAAACACACTTTACAAGAACTTAAACCACACACACTTTAGAAGAACTTAAAACCACACACACTTTACAAGAACTTAAAACCACACACACTTTAGAAGAACTTAAAACCACACACACTTTACAAGAACTTTAAACCAAACACACTTTACAAGAACTTAAAACCACACACACTTTAGAAGAACTTAAAACCACACACACTTTACAAGAACTTAAAACCACACACACTTTACAAGAACTTAAACCACACACACTTTACAAGAACTTAAAACCACACACACTTTACAAGAACTTAAAACCACACACACTTTACAAGAACTTAAAACCACACACACTTTACAAGAACTTAAACCACACACACTTTACAAGAACTTAAAACCACACACACTTTAGAAGAACTTAAAACACACACACTTTACAAGAACTTAAAACCACACACACAACTTAAAACCACACACACTTTACAAGAACTTAAAACCACACACACTTTACAAGAACTTAAAACCACACACACTTTACAAGAACTTAAAACCACACACACTTTACAAGAACTTAAAACCACACACACTTTACAAGAACTTAAAACCACACACACTTTACAAGAACTTAAAACCACACACACTTTAGAAGAACTTAAAACCACACACACTTTACAAGAACTTAAAACCACACACACTTTACAAGAACTTAAAACCACACACACTTTACAAGAACTTAAAACCACACACACTTTACAAGAACTTAAAACCACACACACTTTACAAGAACTTAAAACCACACACACTTTACAAGAACTTAAAACCACACACACTTTACAAGAACTTAAAACCACACACACTTTAGAATAACTTAAAACCACACACACTTTACAAGAACTTAAAACCACACACACTTTACAAGAACTTAAAACCACACACACTTTACAAGAACTTAAAACCACACACACTTTAGAATAACTTAAACCAAACACACTTTAGAATAACTTAAACCACACACACTTTACAAGAACTTAAAACCACACACACTTTAGAATAACTTAAACCAAACACATTGAAAGGATCGTCATTCCTCGCAAATCGACCACAAGAATTATTATTAACCACACGATCACTTGACCCTAAGACACATTATCATGCATCTGGCTTCACTTCTACCTTGACGCTTTACTCCCCGGGATTGGCTCTTTGGAACGTGTGTAAATCATGGGTTTTTTTTTTAACTAGACATGAATGGTGATTAAGAGTTTATGGAAAGATTATTACAATTATTAATGGTTAGATGGTAATACGCACATGGTGTTATATTGCTAGATAAACAGTCATGAAACTTACATAGACGTACAATCTCTTCCTTACATTCCAATCTACACGCACACAGACATACATTTAGATGCGCACATATATGATATTGCCTCCAAAAAACACTCACACACGCACACTATAACCTAACCTAACCTAAGACAACACAGTTCAAACCTCCATATAACGAACTTCGAGTATAATGGATTACCCTGTCATATTGTTCATTATAAGGAGGTTCAGTATATAACAAACTTCAATATAACGACCTAACCTCTCATAATAGTTCATTATAAGGAAGTTCAGTATATAATGAACTTCAATATAACGACCTAACCTCCAACATCGTCCGTTATAAAGAGATTTCGCCATACAGTTACCCCAGGTCTAATAACACAGTAATATCTCCGTTAGTCAGAATCCCTCAGACCCGGACCTCTCTAATGGACGGAATTTAAATTTTTCCGGCTTAATCATTCCCAGAACCGGAATTCTCGTCTTTGGGAACGATTTTCCGGGGACAGGAGATGAAAATCGGGAGCATTTTTTTTTAAATTCCGAGAAAATTTTTCCGTTACCCAGAAAATTCCGGGGACGGGGGATATTTTTCCAGGTTTGAGAGACGTCTGGTTACCTGGAAATCTGTCATTCCTGGAAGTGTTCTGGACCGATTGTTCCAGCTAATGGGGATATTACTGTAGTGACCTAACGACTATCTGGGGTCAAGGTTATAGACTGGGGGAAGAGGGTAGAGGTCATTTGAGGTCAACAGAGGTAATTTGAAGTCATTAGAGGTTATATAAGGTCATTTGGGGTCATCAGAGGTCATTTTTCACCGCCACAACGCTTAACGACACTTATGGCTTACATACACAGATATAAATATTAATATAATTATCTATGGCTACTAATTACTGTTTGTCTGTTTGTCTGTTTGTTTGGAAGACAGTAGGCGGGTATTGTCCTGAGAAAAGATATGGTGTGTGTGTGTGTGTGTCTCTTACCTGTGTGTGTGTGTGTGTAGTAGTAGTGTGCGTATATGTATGCATGGTGTCTAAGTGTATGTACGTTAATAATCTATAACTATCTACAAACGTCAGTGTGTGTGTGTGTCTCTTACCTGTGTGTGTGTGTGTGTGTGTCTGTGTGTGTGTCTGTGTGTGTGTGTGTGTGTGTGTGTGTGTGTGTGTGTGTCTCTGGTGAGATGGGACCAAGTGCAAGATGTTTCCTCACGAGCTTCATGAGCGTCTGAGAAGCAGCAGCCCAGAAGTTATGTCACAGCCTGGATGAGATGTCGACTGTCCTTCTCTCTCTCCCTACGGTCGGCTTTGCTCTGCCTCAGGAGCGAGAGCTTCTGCCCTATACTAACAGTTACAGATGCAGCTATGAGGCAACAGTCACTAATGTTGCATAGATCTGGGCTCAACTAGACTATGAGGCAACAGTCACTGAATGTTGCATAGATCTGACTCAACTGGACTATGAGGCAACAGTCACTGAATGTTGCATAGATCTGCAGCTCAACTAGACTATGAGGCAACAGTCACTATGTTGCATAGATCTGCTCAACCAGACTATGAGGCAACAGTCACTGAATGCTGCAGATCTGATGTGTTGGGAGTCTGAATGAGATCAACAGTCACGATTTGCATAGATCTGTCTTGGGTGGTTGAACTAGACTATGAGGCAACAGTCACTAATGTTGCATAGATCTGCGGCTCAACTAGACTGGGAACAGTCACTGAATGTTGCATAGATCTGCGGCTCAACTAGACTATGAGGCAACAGTCACTGAATGTTGCATAGATCTGCTGGCTCACTGAGCTATGAGGCAACAGTCACTGAATGTTGCATAGATCTGGAAGCTCAACTAGACTATGAGGCAACAGTCACTGAATGTTGCATAGATCTGCTGCTCAACTAGACTATGAGGCAACAGTCACTGAATGTTGCATAGATCTCTTGACTTTACTCACAGTTAGGATAGCTACTTATGTATTAGGATAGTTAATTTTAAGGTAATAAAATGGTGGCGAAGGTTGTGGCTATAGGGGGACTGGAGGCCACATAGTAGTAGTGTGCGTTATATCTATGTCTGGTGTCTAGGTGTATGTCGTCAACTATTTACAAACGTCGGTGTGTAGTAAGTACCTCCCCCAAAACCCCAAATTTGTGGGGGGTTAAGTTAAAGTATAACCTTTAAATATTGACTCTTAGGACAATTATTTCTTTTACCTGTGTGTGTGTGTGTGTGTGTGTAGGGTAATAATGTAGTGTGTACATGTGTAGGTCAATAATGTCAACAGTGACAAATGACTCCACCAGCTGTGTGTTGTGTGTGTGTGTGTGTGTGTGTGTGTGTGTGGGGTAAAACTGTAGTGTGTGTGTCACAGGTGTAGGTCAATAATGTCAACAGTAACAAAATGACTCCATCAGCTGTGTGTGTGTGTGTGTGTGTGTGGGGGGTAAGGCTGTATGTGTGTGTACAGGTGTAGGTCAATATGTCAACAGTGAACCAAGGACTCCATCAGCTGTGTGTGTGTGTGTGTGTGTGTGGTAATGGCTGTAGTGTGTGTAGGTGTAGTCAATAATGTCAACAGTGAACCAAGGACTCCATCAGCTGTGTGTGTGTGTGTGTGTTTGTGGAAAGGCTGTAGTGTGTGTACAGGTGTGGAGTCAATAATGTCAACAGTGGACAAAGGACTCCATCAGCTGTGTGTGTGTGTGTGTGTGTGGTAAAGCTGTAGTGTGTGTACAGGTAGTGTCAATAGTGTCAACAGTGAACCAAGGACTCATCAGCTGTGTGTGTGTGTGTGTGTGGGTAATAGAGGTTAGGTCAATAGTAGACCATATGTGGTAAAGGCTGTAGTGTGTGTACAGGTGTAGGTCAATAGTGTCAACAGTGAACCAAGGACTCCATCAGCTGTGTGTGTGTGTGTGTGTGAAGAATGTCATGTGTGTGTACAGGTGTATGTCAATAATGTCAACAGTGAACCAAGGACTCCATCAGCTGTGTGTGTGTGTGTGTGTGTGTGTGTGTGTGGGTAATGGCTGTGTGTGTACAGGTGTAGGTCAATAGTGTCAACAGTGAACCAGGACTCCTCAGCTGTGTGTGTGTGTGTGTTGGGGTAATGGCTGTAGTGTACAGGTGTAGTCAATATCAACAGTGAACCAAAGACTCCATCAGCTGTGTGTGAATGGGCTGTGTGTTGTGTACAGTGTGGGTCAATATGTCAACAGTGAACAAGGACTATCCGTGTGTGTGTGTGTGTGTGTGTGTGTGAGGCTTTAGTGTGTGTACAGGTGTGGTCAATAATGTCAACAGTGGACAAGGACTCTCAGTGTGTGTGTGTGGTGTGTGGGTAAGGCTGTAGTGTGTGTACAGGTGTGGTAATAGTGTCAACAGGAACCAAGGACTCCATCAGCTGTGTGTGTGTGTGTGTGTGTGGAGTAGGTGTAGTGTGTGTACAGGTGTAGGTCAATAGTGTCAACAGTGAACAAATGACTCCATCAGCTGTGTGTGTGTGTGTTAATGGTGGGTAAAGCTGTAGTGTGTGTACAGGTGTAGGTCAATAGTGTCAACAGTGAACAAGGACTCCATCAGCTCACCAAACTCACGATGTTTCCTTCTTCCTCTTGCCCAACTTAATCTTGAGGGTGGGCACTTTACGCCCTTCTTCACCTTGGCCTCCTCCTCGCTGGTTCGTTTAGGCCTGCTTCTTCTTGCGACGCCCTGGCTGTCTAGTCCAGCTCCTCCCGGCCTCCTCCTCCACTTTGGATTTCCTCGGATCGGCCTCTCTACCCTTTGGGGGTCACCTCGCAGTTCTTTACTGGTCTCAGCAGGTTGGTGCTGTCACCTACCTACCCCCTCTGTGGTGGTACTGGCCTCCACATTACCTCTGTGGTTACTGCTGCTGGTGGCCTAACCTAACCTGACTGATATTACTTCTCTTAACTCCCTCTGTGGTTACTGCTGCTGACCTAACTAACCTGACCTGATATTACTTCTCTTAACTCCTCTTGGTTACTGCTGCTGACTGACTAACCCTAACCTGACCTGATATTACTTCTCTTAACTCCCTCTGTGGTTACTGCTGCTGACCTGACCTGACCTGATATTACTTCTCTTAACTCCTCTGTGGTTACTGCTGCTGATTGACCTGACTTTTCTTACCCAATCTAGCCTGACCTGGCCTAACCTATGCTCACGTGTAGTTGGGTTAGATTACGTCGCCAGGTTAGGTTTGGTTCTGTATAATGGGTAATCTTTAGATGAACTAATCTAAGCTGGAGATATTTTGTCAATCATTCAACCTCTTAATGTACAGTAATCCGTCTTTTTGCGGGTTTTATCGCAGTTTGACCATTACGCGTTTTTACTCAAAATATATATATTCAATATCCTTAAAAAAAAAAAATAAAATTGCCATGTTTTTATAACCCCCAGTGAGGTCGCGGCAAATGGCGGCGTGGAGCCACTCTTCTCGGGGCCGCGCTGCTCTTGAAGCATCACTCCACCTGCCTGTACTGTGAGGCGGGCAGGCACCTCGGACACCATGCTCTTAGAAGCATCACTCCACACCTGCCTACTGTACTGAGGGCCGACGAGGCGCGAGGACAGGCTGGCAATGTGGGTGTTGCCGACCTCAGCAAATAAATTGAAATTTTAATACTTGTAAATAAACATTTTGTTATATAACCATTTTTAAGTTTTTCCATTATTATCAACAATGGTGGTTTTAAATAATTATGTTAATACAGTAGTGAGTGTGGCCTCTGGGTGAGTGGTGGAGCAAGGTCCAGTGGTTGAGGTCAATGACCTGCCTCAGCTGTTTGGTGGCTACAGTGATTCTAAGAGTATCCGCAGTTTGGGGCTTTCGCGGTTCAGAACTTAATTCCCACGAAAAACCTGGGATTACTGTACTGTCATTATTATTGTATTCATATCTATAATAATTCTCCCCATTCTACTTATATTTTAAGTCTTATTATCTAACTAACTACCCTGAATAAAACTCATCTCTAACGACATCGCTGAACGACCCTCAACCCCTCGTTGAGGCAGAAGACACCCGAATTGTTGATAACTGAACAGGCTAATGACTGATATATCCTCCTGATAATTAGCCCCAGTTCATTTCACCTGAAGTTTAACGGACCCCAACACAACTCTTCACGGCAAAACCTCCTATATAATGGAACTTCTCTCTCCATGCCTACTTGGACCTCGATATAATAGCTATCTCTCCATGTTGATTTATTTCGTTTAGAGGTTTAAATGAGACCCTCAATACAATGGACTTTCATCACAAAGTCCATTAAGTGAAATTTTACATCTTCCCTGAAATATAATAGACCTTCATCACCATAATCCACTAATTGAGATCTTACAGTAACGACCCATTCCTGTTCTGTATATTAGGATTACAGTAATTATACAAGAGAAACAACAATAACTTTTAATATTACAAAGTTACATAATATATTACAACAAGTTTATCTGGTCTGATACTTTGTCTGTTTATAATTTCGTTCTGTAAATAAATCGTAAATCAAGATGGTTTCATTTAAAATTTTTCCATTGGTGTTTTTTTTTTCGGTTTTAATTTATTGTTTGTTGGCGTTCCAATATATCACGTAAATAGTCCTTTTCGTAAACAATGCAAATCACAAGCGCATTTTGGAACTTTAGATTGTTGAAAAATATATATTATTATTCAAATAAAATATACTTTCGTTTACAGCTAATGACCACTGATGATGACCACCGTCCCTACAGCTAACTTACCATATTGATGACCACGTCTAGCTAACATCTGATGATAATACGATCTAACTTACTACCACACCAACCCTTCACATCTATCCAATAGCTTCGATTCAATAAACAAAAGGTCATCACAGGTCAAAACACAAACGTAAACAATAACAAACGGAAGACTTCGACTTAGGTCAGGTCAGGTCAGGTCAGGGTTAACAGGCTCTGAGATCCGGATTATTGAGACTTTTGGATAATTGTAATTCATTTGAGTATAATATTTTAAACTTAGAATTGTTTTGAGGTGATTCTCAATCTTGGGATTATTGCCATCTGATTGGTAAGCAATAGATCTCAAGCTTTGAATCTGAATATATACATCTAATAACTACCACAATACATTAATTACAAAAATAAATTACCAGACATTACACAGGGGTATAAGTTGATATGGTTACAGAAATTCTCAGCATTCTGGAATGCGCGATGCATGAACTCCTGTAGATACGATTTAACAAAGTCGTGTTTACATCCTCGCATCGTCTTGATCTGATTCCTGTGTTTGTTCCAGTAAGCGTCGACGACTCCGGCGTGTCGTAAATTCACTTTCGGCGGAATTAGAGGCGTGTCCGGGGTCCGTAGATCGCATGGTCTACGACCAGCGTCGTCCGTGGATCACCGAGCCGGACGTAACCACCGCTCGCGATGGGCAGTAGCGTGGTGTCGGGTGGGGTCGCGGGGCGATCGTGCGGTGACGGGGATGGGTGCTGGTGTCGATGTTGAACACCCATGGACTGGGGCTGGGGGCTGTCCGTCCGTTGGCGGGCTTGGGTTTATGAGTCAGAGCGCGAGTGTCCATCTCTACCACACTGAACCTCCAGCCTGATGGGTTAGCCTGGAAGTGCTTGAACAGACCTCCCGGAAAAACTATATGATCATGCGGTTTTCGGACACGTCAGCTAAGCCGACTGGCGTTGGCTCCCGACTCGCTCGCTCCAGAGGTAGATGGCATGGACCCACTTCTGTAACGACATGCGGGACTTAGAAGCGACCGGTTCATATCGACACGTCAGCTTGTACTTGACACAGCCGCGGGTCTTACACCTCCAGGCCGACCCGTCCTTGCTTCTAGAATGTTTAGTCCACGTCATGGGGTTATGACAACAGTGGCAAGTCATTTGACGCCTGAGAAGTCCGTGTTGTTGGAGCCAATTAATGACCGGCGAGGGGTCCCCACACTGCAGGCGTTGGACGACCTCTGCAAGGTATTGAGGCCCATAGTCTGCTGTTAGACTTTCTCATAAGTGTCTCATACAGTGTATTAGCATATGGACACACTGGTACCTATCGACACACACGGCAACAATAATGGTGTGTTTGCATATATGACACAGAGGTATACATCCGACACACATGACAACAATAATGGTGTGTTTGCATATATGACACACAGGGTATACATCGACACACACTTGACAACAATAATGGTGTGTGCATATGACACCATCCTCCACACTGTGACACCATCCTCCACACTCTGACACCATCCTCCACACTCTGACACCATCCTCACACACTGACACCATCCTCCACACACTGACACCATCCTCCACACTGTGACACCATCCTCCACACTCTGACACCATCCTCCACCTCTGACACCATCCTCCACTCTTGACACCATCCTCCACACTGTGACACAATCCTCCACACTGTGACACCATCCTCCACACTGTGACACCATCCTCCACACACTGACACCATCCTCCACTGTGACACCATCCTCACACTGTGACACCATCCTCCACACTCTGACACCATCCTCCACACTCTGACACCATCCTCCACACACTGAACCATCCTCCACACTCTGACACAATCCTCCACTGACACCATCCTCCACACTCTGACACCATCCTCCACCTCTGACACCATCCTCCACACTCTGACACCATCCTCCACACTCTGAACCATCCTCACACTCTGACACCATCCTCCACACTGTGACACCATCCTCACACTGTGACACCATCCTCCACACTCTGACACCATCCTCCACACCTGACACCATCCTCCACACTCTGACACCATCCTCCACACACTGACACCATCCTCCACCTCTGACACCATCCTCCACACTCTGACACCATCCTACACCACAATAATAATGTCTCTTTGTAATATATAGCCGGACAGACAAATTTTAACAGGTAACAATGGACATCTTTAATCACCTGAAGATTGACCCCTAATATAGCCCCCCACCTGTAGTTCCAACCCCAATACTAACAGGGAGGGGTCTAATATATTTTTCTGCCAATCAACCAATCAGACACAGTTTCTTTTTATTTACTAACGGCGCTACGAGTGGGACGGTCATTAGGCTAAATCGTCAATAAGCGGGTAATAAAATATCCCCAAAGTCCTTAGACCCCAAGGCCCCGACACCAATTACAAACACTGCATAAACTTTCCCAAGACGGGCATAAATTTCCCACAATGGGCATAAATCCCTCAATCGGGCATAAATCCCTCCAAGCGGGCATTAAATCCCAGTCTGGCATAAATCCCTCACAATCGGGCATAAATCCCTCACAAACGGGCATTAAATCCCCCAGTCTGGCATAAATCTCACAATGAGCATAAATCCCTCAAGCGGGCATTAAATCCCCAGTCTGGCATAAATCCCCTCACAATCGGGCATAAATCCCCACAGTGGGCATAAATCACTGGTATAATAGTCAGAATAATAATGTTGAATTAAATCTAGTTTTATTTAACACAGAATTACAAAGAGAGAGAGAGAGAGAGAGAGACACAGAGAGAGAGAACGAAGAGAGAGAGAGAGAGAGAGAGAGAGAGAGACCACCTCAATTCAATCAACAGACCTGAACTGGCTCTGGCTCTGCTCCTCCTCTTCCATCTTCTTCCTCCTCCTCGTCCTCTTGGCGTGAGCCGGTGAACTCCCGACTTGGCACACCAGCATCATCAATTTGGCACAGGTACCTGGAAAATGGGACACAATTAGCCTGTTACCTGGGCGGTAATAGTCGTTTTACCAATTAATTTATTACCTGGGTGATAAGAGACGTTTTACCAATTAATTTATCACCTGGGCCGAGTAAGAGACGTTTTACCAATTAATTTATTACCTGGGCCGAATAAGAGACGTTTTGCAATTAATTTATCACCTGGGCCGAATAAGAGACGTTTTACCAATTAATTTATTACCTGGATGGGAAATTCCTCTGGACAGGTAACTACAAGAGACAATTTACCGAATGGACGAGTTAACATAATCCACTAAATCGTTCGTAGTTAGATACAATATAATTTGTTTTAAAGTCCTGTTATAAATGGCCTCTTCAGACCCCCAATTGCCTCGTTCGGGTGAGTTTCAAGGGTGTGTTTTATGGTTTAAGTCGTGGATATTAGTAAGTGGATTGGGTTGGGATTGGATGGCGTTATTATTAGCATTTTGGTATAAAAGTCTCCCATATACACACGAGTCAGTGATGATATTGTCTGGACTTTGATAATACCTGATGCTAGTTAACGTGACAACATAATGCTGTTACTCCTCTGGTGATTCACTTATGAACCACTGGGATATGTGGTCGTTTATATTAATTAACGGGTCAAATTTTACTCGAACTACCATAAGTATTAGGATGTTTCGATTCTGGGTAGGATATATTGGGTTAATGTTCGTTTTGGTCATCTCTGTACCTAGATATGCAGGCAAGGTTTTCTCTTTGGGTGGTTTGTGATGTGGTATGAATGATTTAGACCTTCAATTCTATCATAACCTAACCTAACCAACCTTATAACTTATCATACCCTAACCTAACCAACCTTATAACTTATCATACCCTAAGCTAACATATGATCTGTATTTTCTTATGTGATCGAATAATGTTTTGCGCTATAAATCCCGTAGAGACAATGTGTCTTATTGTTTAAAGGATCTTAAGGTTCCCCGGATGACCAAAATAATACCAATATTGTTTGAAATGTTTATACTATGAAATTTGTTGTATGGGGCAGCTAATATCCATAGAATTAGTTAATGTTCTATAGTAATATTTAATATAGTATTACTGAGTTGTAAAGCACAATTAATTATCTAATAATATTTATTTAGAGAGCCAATCAGGGAAAGGTTGGACAACTACAGCCGGCTGACTCCTGTTGGGAAGCTCGCCCCAGTCAGTGATATCACAACCAATCACAGAGCTTTTAGCAGTCACGTGACTTTTTAAAAACTTTAACTCTTATTATTGACACTTTTTGACCCAATTTATATAACAATATCATTACCATCGTGAATTTAAGCGCTTTCTTTACCCATTGACTGGCCATCTTATGAAAAAATCCCGGCCGTTAACTCGTCCATTGTATCGTTATCTGGACGGGAAATTATTCTGGACATTTCCGCAGAATTATCGACCAACGACTTACTCTGGGGAATATATTCAACGCCACAAGGGCATAAAGATAAAAACACCGACATTTCCACAAAATTATCAACCAATTTCTTACTCTGGGGTATATTCACACCATAAGGGCATAAAGGTCAAAACTCAACATTTCAGCAAAATCATCAACCAATTTCTTACTCTGGGGTATAATTCCACACCATAAGGGCATAAGTGTTCAAACAAAACATTTCCGCACAATTAATCAGCCAAAAACGACTTACTCTGGGGTTCTCCTTAGCCAATAGCGGCCTCACGTGCTGTTGGAAGAGTTTATAGGTCGTTAGGGTCTGGTAGTCATTCTCCGTGTACTCCAGTTGGCGTCGTTTAGGCCAAAGCTCTCGCACACTTCACCCACGGTTGGCATCTGTTCACTGCCTGTTGGGGGTAATTTTCGCTGTGTCAGAACAATGGTCAAAGCTTCACCTCCTTACAGTACAATGGGAGCACCTGAAGATTAACCCCCCCAAGCTTATTTCACCTGATTAGCCCCCAAGCTTATTTCACCTGATTAGCCCCCAAGCTTATTTCACCTAACCTAACTTGAAAATTCACCCCAAGCTTATTTCACCTTAAGATTCACCTCCCCAAGCTTATTTCACCTGTAGATTCACCTCCCCAAGCTTATTTCACCTGAAGATTCACCTCCCCAAGCTTATTTCACCTGATATATATTCATGAATAGTCACCCCAGCTTATTTCACACACACACACACACACACAAAGCGTACACCCACCCACGCACAAACGTACACTCTATCCTACACACACACACAAGCGTACACCCACCCACACCCACCCTCTGCACCAGCCACCCGCTTACTATTCTCCGTTGGAGTGCTGGGGCGAGGTGGCGGGGTGGTCCTCGGCCCCTACCTGCGGCCTCGACGGACCTCGGCTCTCCTCCTGGTAGTCTGAGTAGAGGCCATCTTCTTCATATTCCCTTCCTGGGTATATAGAGATCCAATTAATAATCTGTCTGTCTGTCTATCCATCTATCTATCTATCCATCTATCTATCTATCTATCTAATACAAAAACAACCTAGCGCCACAACACCCCAGTACTCACGCTCTCGCTCTCGTCCTTCTTCTTGCGTTTCTTGCGTCCCCGTTCGCCCCGGGATGACTTGCGCTTCTTGCTCTTCTTCCTCTTCCTCTTCCCTCCCCATTCTTCATCTTGTTCCTCTTCATTTGAGTCTCCTTGTTCCTCTTCTCCCTCTTCCCCTTCTGCTTCTTGCTCCTCCTCCTCTGTTAAATCAAGTGTGGGTATTAGTGGGTGTGGGGGTGTGGGTGGATTAGTAGATAGATGGTTTGGTTAGGTTTAATTAGGTTGGTTTAGTTAGGTTAGGTTGGTTGGGTTTAGTGAGGTTAGTTAGGTTAGGTTGGTTAGGTTGGTTTAGTGAGGTTAGTTAGGTTAGGTTGGAGTTGGTTTAGTGAGGTTAGGTTAGGTTTTCTTTTTTACGGGTAATGGCTCACCCGGACACAGGTCATCGCCCTACAAGGTTATATTAATGTACACAGTGAAGATGACGGGAAAGCCTCTTTATAATTGATATGAGAGCAGTACTCCAAGTAAGGACCAATTAATCCCTTATATACTTGAACAGCTCAGGGGTGAAGTAGCTATGGCATCTGTACAGCATTCACAGCTTTGGGGCGGCAGCAACGAACCAACAGCTCAGGGGTGAAGTAACTATGGCATCTGTACAGCATTCACAGCTTTGGGGAGGCAGCTTGTGTTGTGTGGCTTCCATGATATATTACAGCAAATGGTGAGGCCGAGCAATGAATCAAATAAATCCTAAATAAAATACAATATTTAATCGCAGAAATAAAATATGGCGGAGAGACGCAGCTAAAAAAAAATACAAAATTGAGCTAAAAAACAATTGAACTAAAAAAAATAATTGGACTAAAAATTCCCTCGATGGGGTATTAAGGCTGGACCACTGTCAAGTCTAACCTAACCAAGTCTAACCTAACCAAGTCTAACCTAACCAAGTCTAACCTAACAAGTTTAACAACTTTGTAGTAAGTGCTGGAATGCTGAAAAGTTTCAAAAGGAGGCTAGATAGGGTGGTGGACGAGTGGAACAAGCTTAGCAACTTTGTAGTAAGTGCTGGAACGCTGGAAAGTTTTAAAAGGAGGCTAGATAGGGTGGTGGACGAGTGGAACAAGCTTACCAACTTTGTAGTAAGTGCTGGAACGCTGGAAAGTTTTAAAAGGAGGCTGAATAGGGTGGTGGACGATTGGAACAAGCTTAGCAACTTTGTAGTAAGTGCTGGAACGCTGGAAAGTTTTAAGGAGGCTAGATAGGGTGGTGGACCGAGTGGAACAAGCTTAGCAACTTTGTAGTAAGTGCTGGAACGCTGGAAAGTTTTAAAAGGAGACTAGATAGGGTGGTGGACAGGGGAACAAGCTTAGCAACTTTGTAGTAAGTGCTGGAATGCTGGAAAGTTTTAGGAGGCTAGATAGGGTGGTGGACGAGTGGAACAAGCTTAGCAACTTTGTAGTAAGTGCTGGAACGCTGGAAAGTTTTAAAAGGAAGCTGATATGGTGGTGGACGATTGGAACAAGCTTAGCAACTTTGTAGTAAGTGCTGGAACGCTGGAAAGTTTTAAAAGGAGGCTAGATAGGGTGGTGGACGAGTGGAACAAGCTTAGCAACTTTGTAGTAAGTGCTGGAGCGCTGGAAAGTTTAAAGGAAGCTAGATAGGGTGGTGGACGAGTGGAACAAGCTTACAACTTTGTAGTAAGTGCTGGAACGCTGAAAGTTTTAAAAGGAGGCTAGATAGATTCATGGATGATGAAGTGGTAGTACTCTCGACAGGAGCTGCCATGAACAGGTCAACTGGCCTATTGCAGACTCCATATGTTCTTAACCTAACCAAACTTAACCAAGCCAAGCCAAACCTAACCTAACTTAAACAATTCCCTTATCAATATATAGCCTTTAATATATAAATAATCATTATAACACATATTTAGACACATATTGGACACATATTAGTTACATATTTATACAGAAACAGAAAAATGGCCATGAATTATTATTGGTTAGGTTGAGTTAGCCTTTAAGAGACAAATAATCATTATAACACATATTTAGACACATATTGGACACATAATCACCCCATAACAACCCTTAAAGATCATAATAACCTCCCCATGTGTCTTTAAGAGGTCAAAACCGAGGTCAGAGGTCAAACCAAAACGTTTCAACTATTCTCCAACTTTTACTGTTTTGTGTAGATTGATAGTTAGGGTTATAATTAGGTAGTTATTAGTGATTAAAGGTTATAATAGCCTGGTTGAGACACGGGGTCAGGTAATCAGCAACAAAGTTCAAAAACGTTCATTTAAACGTTGAAATAATGAACTAATCAACGTTTTTTTTTAAATTAATAGATAAATTAAGATATAATTGACTAGTTAATAATGATTATAGGTTAATAGAACTTGTTATAAATAAACCCCAATTAAACCAACCTATCTACCCTATCATTAATAACTAAGTAATAAAAACACCTAGAATAAGAAAACTATTAATTAAACAACATAATAAAGAGATAAATAAGAGTTTAATAAGAGATAAACAATAATAATGCTTTAGTGACTATGGTCTACCCCCCATGCTGCCGGTCCATTTAAAAACCATCAATTAAACCCTAAAAAACACTATAATTACCTGGATATTCCTGTTCTTCTATATCTGATGGCATTCTAGAAGGTTTAATCTATCTTTTAATATCCTTCAAGATTAATTTACTGGTTTAATTACTCGTTTATAAAAGGAAAACACGGAATGGTTAACTAGATGGCGTCTCTCTCACTCTGTCGCCATTTAACTTTTATTCAGGACAAAGAATAGCCACTGCATGCGTCTCTTATTTAGGCTTATTTCTCCTTATTACTGGCTCTAACGGCATTATATATGGTCTTATAATACTTTAGTAACGAGATGTATTAGTTATATATCGTTAACTCTAAATACTCTTTCTCTCTCTCTCTTATTACTGGCTTATGTCCCTTATTACTGGCTCTAACGGCATTATATATGGTCTTATAATACTATAGTAACGAGATGTATTAGTTATATATCGTTAAAATACTCTTAATACTCTTAATTCTCTCTATCTCTCTTTGTCTCTCTCTCTCTCTTATTTAAGGCTTATTTCTCCTTATTACTGGCTCTAACGGCTTTATATATGGTCTTATAATACTTTAGTAACGAGATGTATTAGTTATATATCGTTAAAATACTCTAAATACTATTCTCTCTTTCTCTCTCTCTTATTACTGGCTTATTTCTCCTTATTACTGGCTCTAACGGCATTATATATGGTCTTATAATACTTTAGTAACGAGATGTATTAGTTATATATCGTTAAAATACTCTAAATACTCTTAATTCTCTCTTTCTCTCTCTCTTATTTAAGGCTTATTTCTCCTTATTACTGGCTCTAACGGCATTATATATGGTCTTATAATACTTTAGTAACGAGATGTATTAGTTATATATCGTTAAAATACTCTTAATACTCTTAATTCTATCTCTCTTTGTCTCTCTCTCTCTCTTATTACTGGCTTATGTCCCTTATTACTGGCTCTAACGGCATTATATATGGTCTTATAATACTTTAGTAACGAGATATTAGTTATATATCGTTAAAATACTCTAAATACTCTTAATTCTCTCTTTCTCTCTCTCTCTTATTACTGGCTTATGTCCCTTATTACTGGCTCTAACGGCATTATATATGGTCTTATAATACTTTAACGAGATGTATTAGTTATATATCGTTAAAATACTCTTAATACTCTTAATTCTCTCTATCTCTCTTTGTCTCTCTCTCTCTCTATCTTGTGTATGTCCTTATTACTGGCTCTAACGGCATTATATATGGTCTTATAATACTTTAGTAACGAGATGTATTAGTTATATATCGTTAAAATACTCTTAATACTCTTAATTCTCTCTATCTCTCTTTGTCTCTCTCTCTCTTATTACTGGCTTATGTCCCCTTTACTGGCTCTAACGGCATTATATATGGTCTTATAATACTTTAGTAACGAGATGTATTAGTTATATATCGTTAAAATACTAATACTCTTAATTCTCTCTATCTCTCTATCTCTCTTTCTCTCTATCTCTCTTTGTCTGTGGCTTACGTCCTTGTTACTGGCTCTAAACACTGTACTAATGTCTCTAATTCTCTCTACCAATTCTATCTCTCTCTCTCTCTCTCTACCCACTAGAAATTGTATCATCAGAAATAATTGCTAGTTTAATAACCTAATTTACGTCGATATTTGTTATCTGTTATCATAGGAGGTCACCAGGCACTATCACTATCAGACACTTATCACACACTTATCACACTTATCAGACACTTCAGATGGACTTACGACGCCGAAGACAGTGTGTTTTAGGAAGCCGTAAGGAAAGGTTTGCAGCTAAGTGTGGTGTGGTGTGTGGTGTGGTAGCTGTGGTGTGGTGTGTGGTGTGGTGAGCTGTGGTGTGGTGGTGTGGTGTGTGGTGTGGTGTGGTATGGTGTGGGGTGGTGTGGTGTGGTGTGCTGCGGTGAGGTGGTGTGGGGTGGTGTGGTGAGCTGTGGTGTGGTGTGGTGTGGTGTGGTAGCTATGAGACAGTTAGATACGTTAATGTACGGAATAAGGCAAACAGAGTATTGGGTTTTATATCTAGAGTGTAAGTAACAAGAGTGCAGAGGATGTATTGCAACTATATCTTGAGTCAGGCCACCTCCATTATGTGGTTCAGTTCTGGTGCCCCTATTATAGAATGGATATCAATTCACTGGAGTCGGTGCAGCGAAGAATGACGAAATGATTCCGGGACTTAGAAACCTTCCATATCAGGATAGGTGAAACTAAACTTTCATTCCTGGAAAGACGAAGAGTGCGGGGAGATATGATAGAAATATTTAAGTGGGTGAAAGGAATCAATAAAGGGATATAGATAAAGTTCTTATAATATCCGAGCAGGATAGGACTCGTAGCAACGGATTTAAGTTGGATAAGTTTGAGGAGGAGATAGGGAACTGGTTCACAAATAGGTTGGTGGACGAGTGGAACAAGCTTAACCTTTGCAGTAAGTGCTGGAATGCTGAAAGTTTCAAAAGGAGGCTAGATAGGGTGGTGGACGAGTGGAACAAGCAGCAACTTTGCAGTAAGTGCTGGAACGCTGGAAAGTTTTAAAAAGGAGGCTAGATAGGGTGTGGTGGATGAGTGGAACAAGCTTAGCAACTTTGTAGTAAGTGCTGGAACGCTGGAAAGTTTTAAAAAGGAGGCTAGATAGATTCATGGATGATAGAGGTGGTAGTAACTCTCGACAGGATCTGCCATGAACAGACCAACCGCGGCCTATTGCAGACTCCTTATTTTCTTATGTTCTCACGTCACCAGTTAGGAGGAGAATACCTAACCAAACCCAACCAAACCTAACCCCCGGTAGTTAATGTTATCTTATCTATGTCTGGCATCACTGATAACACTAAAAGCAAGATGATGATAGTGTGTGTGTTGTGTGTGTGTGTGTGTGTGTGTGGACACTAGGGGTAATCTATCATAACAAAAACTTTGGTATTTTCTGAAGATAAATTTACTCTGTTAAACTAACCTAACACTAACCTAAACTAATCTTAACCTAGCTTAACCTAACACTAACCTAAACTAATCTTAACCTAAGCAACTTAATACTAACCTTACCTAATCTTAATCTAGCTTAACCTAACACTAACCTAAACTAACCAATTCTGTTTATATCAGACATGGAGATGGACACTAGGCGAGCGGTTTTCTTGGGCACGGTGAGTAATCCAGCTGTATTATAAATCCTAACAACTATAACACAACGAACTGGTAACAATATGGCGTAGAATATGCCCTGAGACTCTACCCTATACTAGATTATGTTGTTATCTTAAGCTAATGTGGCTAAATGTGTGTTTTAGTGAATAATTATTGTCAATTGGCCTGCCATCTTTGTGTGGTAGCTTAAGTGAGTCAGTTAGATACGTTCTCACATCACCAGTTAGGAGGAAAACTTAACGTAGGAACCTTTGAGAATCCATCTTTGTGTGTAAAGTAAGCAAGTGGGTCCAGTTGAATGCGTTCTCACATCACAGTTAGGAGGAAAGAATTGAACTTAGAGACCTTTGAATCCATCTTTGTGTGGTAGCTTAAGTGAGTCAGTTAGATACGTTCTCACATCACCAGTTAGGAGGAAAACTTAACGTAGGAACCTTTGAGAATCCATCTTTGTGTGGTAGCTTAAGTGAGACAGTTAGATACGTTCTCACATCACCAGTTAGGAGGAAAACTTAACGTAGGAACCTTTGAGAATCCATCTTTGTGTGGTAGCTTAAGTGAGACAGTTAGATACGTTCTCACATCACCAGTTAGGAGGAAAACTTAATGTAGGAACCTTTGAGAATCCATCTTTGTGTGGTAGCTTAAGTGTGACAGTTAGATACGTTCTCACATCACCAGTTAGGAGGAAAACTTAACGTAGGAACCTTTGAGAATCCATCTTTGTGTGGTAGCTTAAGTGAGTCAGTTAGATACGTTCTCACATCACCAGTTAGGAGGAAAACTTAACGTAGGAACCTTTGAGAATCCATCTTTGTGTGGTAGCTTAAGTGACTCAGTTAGATACGTTCTCACATCACCAGTTAGGAGGAAAACTTAACGTAGGAACCTTTGAGAATCCATCTTTGTGTGGTAGCTTAAGTGACTCAGTTAGATACGTTCTCACATCACCAGTGAGGAGGAAAACGTAACGTAGGAACCTTTGAGAATCCATCTTTGTGTAGTAGCTTAAGTGAGTCAGTTAGATACGTTCTCACATCACCAGTTAGGAGGAAAATTGAACTTAGGAACCTTTGCGAATCCATCTTTGTGTGGTACCTTAAGTGAGTCAGTTAGATACGTTCTCACATCACCAGTTAGGGGGAAAATTGAACTTAGGAACCTTTGAGAATCCATCTTTGTGTGGTAGCTTAAGTGAGTCAGTTAGATACGTTCTCACATCACCAGTTAGGAGGAAAACTTAACGTAGGAACCTTTGAGAATCCATCTTTGTGTGGTAACTTAAGTGAGACAGTTAGATACGTTCTCACATCACCAGTTAGGAGGAAAACTTGACGTAGGAACCTTTGAGAATCCATCTTTGTGTGGTAGCTTAAGTGAGTCAGTTAGATACGTTCTCACATCACCAGTTAGGAGGAAAACTTAACGTAGGAACCTTTGAGAATCCATCTTTGTGTGGTAGCTTAAGTGAGTCAGTTAGATACGTTCTCACATCACCAGTTAGGAGGAAAACTTACGTAGGAACCTTTGAGAATCCATCTTTGTGTAAGTGAGTCAGTTAGATACGTTCTCACATCACCAGTTAGGAGGAAAACTTAACGTAGGAACCTTTGAGAATCCATCTTTGTGTAAGTGAGTCAGTTAGATACGTTCTCACATCACCAGTTAGGAGGAAAACTTAACGTAGGAACCTTTGAGAATCCATCTTTGTGTGGTAGCTTAAGTGAGTCAGTTAGATACGTTCTCACATCACCAGTTAGGAGGAAAACTTAACGTAGGAACCTTTTGAGAATCCATCTTTGTGTGGTAGCTTAAGTGAGTCAGTTAGATACGTTCTCACATCACCAGTTAGGAGGAAAACTTAACGTAGGAACCTTTGAGAATCCATCTTTGTGTAGTAGCTTTAAGTGAGTCAGTTAGATACGTTCTCACATCACCAGTTAGGAGGAAAACTTAACGTAGGAACCTTTTGAGAATCCATCTTTGTGTGGTAGCTTAAGTGAGTCAGTTAGATACGTTCTCACATCACCAGTTAGGAGGAAAACTTAACGTAGGAACCTTTGAGAATCCATCTTTGTGTGGCAGCTTAAGTGAGACGTTGAATACGTTCTCACATCACCAGTTAGGAGAAAAGCAACATGGGAACCTTTGAGAATCCATCTTTGTGTGTAGTAACAAGTGAGTCAGTTGAATGCGTTCTCATCACCAGTTAGGAGGAAAACTTAGCGGAACCTTTTGAGAATCCATCTTTGTGGTAGCTTAAGTGAGTCAGTTAGATACGTTGTCACACATCACCAGTTAGGAGAGAAAACTTAACGTAAGACCTTTGAGAATCCATCTTGTGTGGTAGCTTAAGTAGTCAGTTAGATACGTTCTCACATCACCAGTTAGGAGGAAAACTTAACGTAAAGACCTTTGAGGAATCCATCTTTGTGTGGTAGCTTAAATTGGAACAGTTAGATACGTTCTCACATCACCAGTTAGGAGGAAAACTTAACGTAGGAACCTTTGAGAATCCATCTTTGTGTGGTAGCTTAAGTGAGACAGTTAGATACGTTCTCACATCACCAGTTAGGAGGAAAACTTAACAGTGTGTCTAAGTGGGTACAGAACATATTATTTCCGTGTGTATGAGTATATAAGAGATATTAATAGTCTCTCTCATCAGGTGGCAGTGCTTCTCATCAGCTCTATCGTCCTAATGTGTGTATTAATCCAAGCTGACCCGGATCAACCCACGAAAAGTACCCATCCGTTAATCCTTGTGTCACTAGATGGATTTAGGGCGGATTATCTGGATAGACACATCACACCTACCTTGCAGTCCATTGGGAATAGAGGAGTGAAGGCGAATTACATGAAGCCATCCTACCCAACCTTGACCTTTCCAAACCACTATACTATTGTCACGGTGTGTGCCAAGGCTTTTAACCTAACCTAACTTAACCTAACCTAAATTTAACCTAACTTAACCTGAATTAAACTTATATAAACTCATGTTTGTTTATTTTCATCAGCTGTTCATTGTTTACATTTATCAGCTGTTGTTTACACTCACTAACTGTTTGTTTGTTCCAGGGACTGTATCCAGCGGCTCATGGTATTATAGCCAATTCCTTTTACGATCCAGTTTACAAAGAAAAATTTTCAATGGGGACAAAAGACGGCAAATGGTGGGGTGGAGAGCCCATCTGGAACACTGTAACAAGCCAGGTCAGTTAATTAAGGTCAGGTCATGTTAAGAGAGAGGTCAGGTCAGGTTACAGTATATAGGAATTGTGTTACATAAGGTCAGGTCATGTTCAGAGAGAGGTCAGGTTACAGGAATGTGTTATCTAAGGTCAAGTCATGTTCAGAGAGAGGTCAGGTTACAGGAATGTGTTATCTAAGGTCAAGTCATGTTCAGAGAGAGGTCAGGTTACAGGAATGTGTTATCTAAGGTCAAGTCATGTTCAGAGAGAGGTCAGGTTACAGGAATGTGTTACATAAGGTCAAGTCATGTTCAGAGAGAGGTCAGGTTACAGGAATGTGTTATCTAAGGTCAAGTCATGTTCAGAGAGAGGTCAGGTTACAGGAATGTGTTATCTAAGGTCAAGTCATGTTCAGAGAGAGGTCAGGTTACAGGAATGTGTTATCTAAGGTCAAGTCATGTTCAGAGAGAGGTCAGGTTACAGGAATGTGTTATCTAAGGTCAGGTCATGTTCAGAGAGAGGTCAGGTTACAGGAATGTGTTATCTAAGGTCAAGTCATGTTCAGAGAGAGGTCAGGTTACAGGAATGTGTTATCTAAGGTCAAGTCATGTTCAGAGAGAGGTCAGGTTACAGGAATGTGTTATCTAAGGTCAAGTCATGTTCAGAGAGAGGTCAGGTTACAGGAATGTGTTATCTAAGGTCAAGTCATGTTCAGAGAGAGGTCAGGTTACAGGAATGTGTTATCTAAGGTCAAGTCATGTTCAGAGAGAGGTCAGGTTACAGGAATGTGTTATCTAAGGTCAAGTCATGTTCAGAGAGAGGTCAGGTTACAGGAATGTGTTATCTAAGGTCAAGTCATGTTCAGAGAGAGGTCAGGTTACAGGAATGTGTTATCTAAGGTCAAGTCATGTTCAGAGAGAGATCAGGTTACAGGAATGTGTTATCTAAGGTCAAGTCATGTTCAGAGAGAGGTCAGGTTACAGGAATGTGTTATCTAAGGTCAAGTCATGTTCAGAGAGAGATCAGGTTACAGGAATGTGTTATCTAAGGTCAAGTCATGTTCAGAGAGAGGTCAGGTTACATGAATGTGTTATCTAAGGTCAAGTCATGTTCAGAGAGAGGTCAGGTTACATGAATGTGTTATCTAAGGTCAAGTCATGTTCAGAGAGAGGTCAGGTTACAGGAATGTGTTATCTAAGGTCAAGTCATGTTCAGAGAGAGGTCAGGTTACAGGAATGTGTTATCTAAGGTCAAGTCATAGTAATAATAATAATAATCAACTCACCAGGGTAAGATCAGTGCAACATACTTCTGGCCGGGATCAGATGCCAACATTGGTGGGATACATCCGTCGTATTGGTACCCCTATAATGGCAGTATTCCCTACACTGACCGCGTCGACAAGGTGAGGTAGAGAGGGGATGTGTTCTCTGCTTGGGTTATAAGCTTTGTTGGTGTACTTGTATATTGCACAAATAACCATAATTGTTGATACACTGGTCCCGGGTACACATGGAGGTCAACAGATGATGCGTGTTTATAATAGTAACGTCACCGAGCTGTGGATTGTGGGTTAAACAAGTGCTTGGTGAACTATCCTTACTGTCTCTTATCCTTGGTACCACTGACCTGATCTTTGCTGCCCGCCAGATAAGGAAAAAGTGCAGAGAACAGCGTCGTGACCCGTACATGGCCTTCGTCGACCTGACCAAGGCCTTCGACTCGGTCAACAGGGAAGCCCTCTGGTGGACCCTCAGCGGCTTTGGGTGCCCACCTAAATTCATCGCCATTGTGAGGCAACTCCACAATGGCGCCCAGTCTGAGTTGTTCCCCATCCAAACGGGGGTTAAACAAGGGTGTGTACTGGCACCAACTCTCTTTTCAATTTTCTTGGCTGCCTTCCTTACTCGTGCCAGTGCCAATTTAGCCGGCGGGGTGGATATCCAGTACCGGGTGAAGGGTCTTTTCAACATAAGACGACTCCAGGCAGGAACAAAGGTGTCGGCAGCTTCCATTACTGAACTTCAGTACGCAGACGACCTCACCCTTGTCACTCACTCTGAACACGACCTACAGGAGATCCTGAACACCTACATAGATGCGTATGCACACTTCGGCCTTGAGGCGAATGTACGTAAGACTCAGATTCTCTTTCAACCTGCCCCTGGTTCAGCCACACCTCCACCATCCATCCAGCTTAACAGTACTACCCTCTCTAGTGTTACCCACTTCCAGTATCTCGGCTCCCACCTGTCCACCACCGCGGTCATCGATGAAGAGATTCAGCATCAGATCAGATGTTCATCTCAAGCCTTTGGCAGACTCTATACCCGTGTCTTCAGCTGTAGGGAGCTGAAATTATCTACAAAGTTACACGTATATTGAGCAGTGGTCCTCCCCACCCTGCTGTATGGCAGTGAGACATGGGTCACATACAGGAGGCACCTCAAGGCACTTGACAACTTTTACCAACGTAGTCTATGTTCCATCCTCCGAGTTCGCTGGGAAGACGAGAGAACAAATGCCAGTATTCTCTCACCTAACTGATAGTAAACGTAGCGCTGGCGGGCAACTGGCGAGGTATAAGGATAGTCTTAAGACAAACATGAAAAAGTCGCCTCACCTGGGAGACGATTACTCCACACCATAACGCTTGGGGGAGCACCACACAAGATGGTGTCAATACTGTGGAGTTAGCCCGACTGTATACCGAGGCAGACAAGCGCCAACGGCAGAAAGACTTTGCTGCCACCTCCCCTCCCGCACTAGATGTAGCCCCCCACACATGCAGCCTCTGTGATCGACTCTGCCGGTCCTGTATCGGCCTCTTTAGTCACCTCAGAACTCACCAACGAAGGTGACATCCTTAATAACTCGATCATAGCTGGATGATACTCGATTACCAGTGTGTGTGTGTGTGTGTGTGTGTGTGTGTGTGTGTGTGTGTATTTAACATTTCATTTTAAAATTTTCAGATTAAAATTTCTTATAAAGAAAATAATCAATCTTAACCTAACTTAAACTAACCCTTTAAGTTAATTAGTATCAATCACACAGGTAATTGAATGGCTAACGATACCTGACCCAACAAAACGTCCTGACCTCATCACACTGTATTTTGACCACACAGGACACGGGTTTGGTCCTAGTAGTAGTAGTAGTAGTAGTAGTAGTAGTAGTAGTAGTAGTAGTAGTAGTAGTAGTAGTATTTTAGAAAAAAGTAGGGTGCCTAATTATCAGGTAAAATAAACTAGGGTGTCTAATCTTCAGATGATCTCAATTAAATCAACTTCACGGAAAATCTCACTCTTGACCAACACTTCAAACTGTCCTCACTAACTTGAAGCATTAACTTGAAGCATTAACTTGACCCATTTGTCTCTACAGGTTAACGAGACGGTGAAGATAGTGGACAACATGATAAAGAGGTTAATGAAAGGTCTGGATGATAATTATTTAACCCAAGATGTTAATATTATTATCCTGGCTGACCACGGAATGGCGCCCGCGGGTCAAACACGCCTTATTGAGTTGAACGAGTTGGTTCCTAATATACACAACAGATCTTTCACCTATACCGGGGCGTTCAGCAGAAT